CCCGATCCTCGCCGATTTGATGCTTCACAAATGCCGACACCAATGCCCAGATGTTCACAATGGCTACCAGTGCCAGGATGGAAATAATGACATAGGTGATTGATGGACTTTGAACTAGTCGGCGTCGCTTTTCGTCCACAAGGTCTGCCTTGACGGGACGCAGGGACGCAGCGGCAGACGACTCCGCTGCCGAGGTTTCGTTGATTGCGAAGCGGTTCTGTTTGTTTGCAAGCTGGGTGCCTACAAATCCGAGATTATAATGCAGCGCATCGAGGATTTTGTCCTCTGCCCCTGTTGTACCAAACTCCTCTGCCTTGATTTTGCCAAAGGGCTCCAGGATGGTTGCGAAATGAGGAGAAAAGCCATCTACAAGAGTATTCTGGCTGTCGATGTCAGGGAAAGCCTCATCTCCATGAGAAATCTCCGAATAGCCAACTTTGGGGATGGCAAAGGGCGGGTCCCATGGCCGGACATTGTTACTGTCGGGAACAGGGGGATTGCTGTGATCGATTTGCAGATCCCCATTTACTTGGATCATCTGAACGCTGGTAGGGACCTCCACCCAAGTGTAGTTGCACTTCCAGACGGAGAGATGGGTAAAGGATGCGGTGTCGGCTGAAAAGTTGCCCCAGAAATAGGTCCGGAGAGCCCAGTTGGGTCCGACCTTGGGGCCACAAAGTGTCGCGTCCGCATTTTCCGGGGTGGGCAGCACGCTGGCCATGTACACGTAACCATTTTTGACAGCAGGTTGTCCCAGCTGGATCATCTCGCTGACCTTGGTCTCCCTGTATTCAGTCTTGTTTCCAACGGTAACCTCAATGGGTGGAGCAGCACATTTATTCTCCTGGATAATCGTTACATAGAAAGAAGGGGCCTCACCAGCCCACTTTACATCCTCTTTGGTCCAGTCCTTGACAGTTATGTTCAAGTTGTTCTGGGGAACTTGGGAACAGGTGGGAGCCAGCTTTGCGGCTGGTATATCAAGTCTAATGGAGTGATCCGCTTGGGCGCCCCAATCTGAGCTATTGAAATCGACAGTTGGAAAGAGTAGGTCGCCGTAAGTGAATTTTGGATACGTGAAATTTGATAGACTTTGCGTGAGGACAAGGCTCTTGACGATGGCAAAAGTATTACGTTGGGCCAATGCTGTTTGGTTGTCGGCGTCGAAAGACCCAAACCAACTCGCTTGTGGGAACTCCCAGCTGTTGTGGCTCGCGACGGTCTCGGGATTGAACAGAAGGGAGGTGAGGGCCACCAAGAAGGCACAAATTGCGGCAAGGGTTTGAGAGATGGAGACTGTATAAACCCTTAGCCGGAACGAATGGTACAAGGCTCTGAATCCAAGCATATCCAAGAGCGACATGTCTAACTCGGCCGCGTTACAATAACTCGTTGCCAGCTTGGATAAAATGGCTAGGTCTCGAATTACAAAGTCGACTGTTGTGGTATATAAAGCGACCCCAAACATGGCTAGTGCTGGGAGAACCCTCCAAAGAAATGGAATGTACACATCATTTCCGATATTCCCTAGCCCATCGGATCTCTGTGACACGACCAGGGTGGTAGACAGGGCAACGATGAGCACAAGGACGTACACTGTGAACATGGCGCGATATCGCGATCTGAGGACCAGCATGGAGAAGTCGGTATGCCCCCATGTCCTGTCGTCTTCATGTCCTTGTGCGAGGCTCACAGTATCAGGTTGAGCAATGTCCGTTTTGCCCTGCAGGAACGCCATGGACCCCAAGATTGTCGCGGGGTTCCTGTGCCATACTTGAGACACTTCTGCAGACTGATGTATGATGCAGACAATGATGAGCATGGAGAGGCAAAAGAGGATGAACATGGCGATGCACACACCCTGGTTTACCCGTAGTGCTTCTGTCTCCAGCAAAGAAGAGCCCTGGATCTCAGACGATCGGTCCTGTCGAAAATGATAATGGGCGACAAGGGGCCAGAACATCTCCGTCACATTTGTGACGGCTTGTTTAAGGACCTCATTCTGGTAGTTTGACATCTGCGTCCTGTTCGCAACCTCGCCGCGAATGTCGTACAACGTGTCGAGCGGCCCGATGATGATATTCCCCGCATTGCTATATTTCGTCCACCCCCCTTCAAGGCTGGGTATGGATTTAGCCAGCATGGCCCAAGGGTTTGAATTGATCTGGGTGTCTTCTTGGTGTGGGGGAACGGTCAGTTCTGGAGTAGAACCGTAATCATCAACCTCGACCTTGGATGTCCATGCGGTTGAGGAGCACATGACGGCAGCGCACTGGCTACTCTTGGGGGGCACCGTTCCATTCTTCCCCGCCGTGTCGAACCAACATCCATAGTACACAAAAGGCGGATGGCGCTGTGGCAGTGAAGAGCAGGATGGTGGCTGTTCGACATCAAACACTGCCCACCAAGCTTCGCCTATCTTGGCATAATCTGCGATCACGGTATTTGCCCTGACGGGCTTGTCGCAGGAATCAAATTGGAAGTCGAGGGTGATGTTTATACCGGAAATCACCTTGCCACTTTGCGTGTACTTCATGCCCTTCACATCGGCCGCTTTCTCCGAGGTGAGGTCGTAACTTTTCATCGCGTCGCACTGGGTATCCATGAATAATCCGTCTACGGTGAGACGCAAAGGGTGATCGCGAGTGCCTCGAGTGTTATCGGTCTGAGTTGAGACCTCGTAAGTCTGGTATGCGCCCTGGCTCGCCACGCCAAAGGGATACTCCATGTCGAACTCGAGCATGGCCTTTCTGTGATAGAAGGAGGCCTCGGCGGTGGTATTTGTGACGTTCTCTGACACGGCAAAAGAATCCATTAGTCGGACGTCAACAGGCGCCCAGACCAGTCTAGGTTCCAATTGGAAAAGGGCGGGAGAGAGGATGATCTGAACCCTGGCTATGATTGTCGAGACGGCGGCAAGTGTCACGAAGAAGTGCCTTCGTTGCACAGACCAGAATAGCACCTTGGGGAGGATCATCGAGGTATAGTCGAGGGTGTATACTTCCGAGTTCAGGCCATCATGGGTTTGCAGAAATGCCCACGGCAGATATCTGAACACCTGCAGCTCAATGCGGGACAAAAACACTGCCACGAGGGTGAGGACTATACAGAAAGATGTTAAGATGCTGATTCTACGGCAATCAAGGAGATGTGAATGGCATACCGGCTGCTGGGACAAACCTGTACACGTAAACCAGGCCATGATGCCCCTGACCGATCCCACCATCGCGCTTGGAAAGAAGCAGCAAAACCAAGAGTATGGCGGCGCAGCAGAAGAACCAAGCCAAGAAGATGCCCAGCACAGTCCGCCGCAGCCAAAATGGTTCCCATGTTGCCACATTGTCATGATGGAAGTTCTCTTTTGCTGGACCGTTGCTCGTGGCTCCTCCCACGTGGTCTAGGAGCATCGAATTGGGGCCTTCATAAAAGGCCTTGTCGTCGAGATCTTCGTTAGTGATTTTTGACGATCTTAGCGTTTCTTGACTTGGTGCAAGACCCTGGGAGGGTTGCACGAAGCGGCTCGGATCCATGGGGCTTAGACGGCGGGAAGTGTCTTGGCTGGACGCCACAGAATGCAAAAGGGAAGAGTGATCCGGGTGGGCTGATCCATTTAACAAGTTAATCGCTTCAACATACTGGTAACTAAATATTTGATTTCCTACACACCACAACGCTCACAGCTCCAAGATGCACGGTCGCTCTTGGCCAAGACGAGTTTGATCCTACCTAATTTCATGCGTTGTCCGAACCCACCAATGATAACAGCTCCCGCGGGACTGGCCAAGACACTAACCAGGCAATTCAACACTAGACGGCTTCAATGAACCAGGGGGTCGGGTTGTCCGCCCACCGGGAGGACGTCTATTCTCGCCGCCATGTGGTACTCTGCCCTACTCTGCCCTACCCGGACCCGTTCTCAACGCGAGATACCAAAACAGGATGTCAGATTGAAAAAAACCCAATGTCCAGCAGTCGCTACCCCGGTATGCATAACAGTCCGAGCTCCACTTACCGTCTTAATTGCGCCCCTGCAGGGAATGAAATCGAACCTGACACATGCGAGCAAACCTGTCCAAGCGAAAACGAGCTGGAATGCTGCTCCTAACTAGGCTCTATGCTTGTTTCTCCCTATTTTATGTATTGTTTGTTTCTTTTGCCGTCAACAAGGGTTATCCCAAGATCAAACTACACATGTGACGTCGTCATAAAGTTTTGTTTTTAAATCTGACTTAGGGCCCACGCCCAAACCATAAAAACCATGAAAACTTAGACGATCACATATCTAAATACTCATTCTAATGGGTAGATTAAATAGTCATTCGACGAGCGGCTCGTCCCGACGTCAAGTGAGCCATCGGTATAAAGGTTTATAGAGTTTCCCTTCCATAAAACAGCAGCCTTGGGCCAGTGATGTGAAAGTTCAGTGTTATAGGGTAGGTCAATATTTCACATACCCTATAGGCACGTGACACAACCAGCCGTAGGCTCCAGCCATAAGTGTGACGCGATGGAGCCAGATCACGGGACTTCCCACGTGATACCCCTTTAATTCAATGAATAAATAGATTATCCGTAGACCCTCATTAGACAATAGGAAATTCTAGTCTTCTATTAATTCCGCTTAATTTGGTGACCTCTAGCTGTGGCGAATCGTCACAACACGTAGAGCTCCTTCGTTGTAGCCTCGAGATACGCTCTTCTTCCTTAATGCAATTCTCCTGAAATCCCGCTATCTCGCAAAGCCTCGATTAAGAAGCGACGCTTATATTAACCTTTCGTATTAAATGTGTGGAGATGATGGGTCCGGCATCTTTCATTGCTATTTTTAACTTTATACTCGGAGACATGTCCTCTCAATGATTCTGAAAAGCCGGCAAATTTAACTGTCATTTTCATGCTATCGACAGGTTTTGCAGACACTTGAATTGTCTGTCGGGACATAGAATTCACCGTTAGCTATAGTTTGGTTTAAGAGTATTGATCTAGGTAGTGATAAGGACTCAACTCACGTTGTACATTTCGGAATTCACATTGCACTGACCCTTGTCATTCAAAGTAGGGCGGTCCATCTCATCTAAATCTAGCTCACCTCTGCTAGACTTTGAGAGGTCATAGCGGTGAGCAACCATGACGACGATGACGCGAGCCTCGATATTGGCCAACTCCTGACCAAGGCAGTTCCTTCGTCCTCTCTCGAAGCCTCTCCAAGAGCCGGCCGGAACCTTTGCTCCTTCCCCATCTTTGGTATTCAGCCAGCGCTCCGGAAAAAATTCGTTGGCATTCTCGCCATACACGGCCGGATCGCGGTGGATGATGGGGTAATTAACGTAAACGTAGCAGCCCTCGATGCTATATTCTCTGTCCTCACTTGTGACTACAAGTCATGTTCCTACGCCCTGTTTAGCCTGTCCTCTTTCATCTCGCGGCTGTGGTCTCGCATTTCATAACTTGCTTCTTATTGCTTAACTTGGCCCGTCTGGAGGTGTGGGAGGAAATAACACATTATGGTGGATCAACACGATAGATTGGACGACGAATTTATCACAATGTGTAATTACGGAGTGTAGTTAAGAGCATATAGCATAATATGTCTTTTAGATCCTGTGGCGCCGGCAGTCTTCGCATGCCAGTAAATGGCAACGTTTACATGAGAGGATATACTTGTAATGGCGACCATGGCAAACCTCACAACGGTATCCGCGGCGCGGTGCTGAGCCCTCCAGCTTCTTGAATTTGTTGCGATGGTCGCACTCATGCGTGGCTAAGAGTTCCTGTTCCATGGCTGCCACACGTCCAACACGGGCAGCAGGAGCCAGAGGCCATTGGGCTTCTCTGTCGACAACTTGCTGAGCCCTCTGGTTAAGGAGCTCTGGTTCCCAATCGCCGCATGGGCAATGTTTCCACTCCACGCCACACCTATAACAGAATTCGTAACGGCACCTGCAGCTGTAGAGAGCTCGTCAGTTCGACTCCGCGGAGAGCTGTTGTGTCGGCACTTACGTCATGTGATCGCAGCCTTCATATCGATGGACCATTTGACCGCATCTAGAGCAGGATTGCCAGCCTTGCTGTTTTCCAAACCTGAGGAGGCTCTGCCGTACCTCATCGTCTGGACAGGCTCCTTCGTGCGCTAGACCTTTGCAATACATGCAGGTTTCAACACCGCAAGCTCCGCAAGATGCAAAATCCGGGTTTCGTTGCATCGCTGGGATGTACTTTGCACATTCTGGAACAGCACAGTAGACTCTGTCAATGCTGCTGAATTCTGCTTCCGCTTCCTTGTACATGTTCAACTCATCAATGGAGAGGTCCGACTCGACGATGGACAAGTCGATCGGCTGGCGGTGACACCGGGGTGGAAAAAGGCTTTCATCTTTGGCAGCCTGTAGAAAGAAGGCCCTGAGGCATGGCCTGCAGTATATGTCTTCACATTCTAACTGTACACTGGCCCATGGTGGAACATCATCTCCACAGATAATGCATCCAACTTTGATATTGGGTAAGCCTTGCAGAGCAGCCTGCTGGTGATGAACGTACTGCCCCGAGGGACCCGCAACAGTGCTATTGGTGGCCCAGGTTTTGACTACAGGAGCAGCGGACTCGAAGACGAAGTCCCAGTCAATCACTTCTCCCCTGGGGTTCAACACATCGAGATTGGTAGCGTTATTGCGAGGGGCAGGACCCCCATCTTCGTCTAGGCTGAGGGCATATTCCCGATCCTGGGCAATACGCGCCTCTTCAGCAGCCAAGAGTTCGATCGCGACAGCATCAGAATCAACTGCCATGGCAATACTATGCGCAAGTCTCATGTCTTGGACCAGCGCAATGGCCTCATTCACCTCATTTTCGAACATTTCGAATGCCATGGCATAATCTGGAGGATTTCCCTCGACCCATTTTCCGGATTGATGTTCGCGCTGGCCTTGGACTTCTTTGAGCTGGATATGGAGAGCAAGGCTTTCATCGTCCAAGTGGAGTGGTGGATCTGCGCACGACATGATTCAGGTTGTATCGGGAGGTAGACTATATAGTATATGGTGGTTGGTTGTGTTCATCTGGGTATCCCGACATGAAAGATATGGGAACAAGAGTTGGGGGGCAGGAGGATTCTTGAAGAGATTGAGGTGGAGAGGAGCAAGATCGAGTGAAAGACGTAATTGCCCCGTTTGTTAAGCCTTCGACCACGTGCTGCGGGCATGAGAGTTCGAGTAGCTTGACGGGGACGTGACAAGTCTATTAGTTAGGCCTCCTCGAGGGCATTACCGAGATACTTGTACGCTCGTCTATCTCGAATCAGCTGCTTGGTCTCAGCGAGTGCGAAAGACTAGGGGTGAGAACCACTTGGAGTTACCGCAGCCGCGATCAAACACACCTAGTGCCGTTCCAGTACGGGAGTACAGTCTTGAAGGACACTTGAAAAATGTAGAGGGGGAATAGGGCGACCAGCCCCGTAGCGGATGGGACCGGTCATCACCGATTTGAGTTTGACCGACCGAAGCCTCTTTATGGGGATCGAAAGCATGAAGCTGAGCCAGGGAATAAATAGAAAGCCAGTTAGCTGTTAACTACAATCTAGAAGTACGGACGTTGAGAATACACCGGAAATCTTCAGCCCTCCCAAGTCTCCCTGATGATTTTCCAATACCGTTCTTCATCGTCTCTCACATGCATGACATGCTTTGTACCGTGGAATTTCTCAAGTCTAACATGGAATCCCTTTTCCTCTGCTGCCGTAGCGTGCTTCACCACGGCGTGGAAGTTAACAATCTGGTCAGTATCGCTATATATGTATGCCCGCCTAGCCTCGCTTGTGACCTCGTTATGAACCCGGAAATAATACGCGAAACTATCTTCACGGCCGATGAAACAGATAGAGTAGAGTACTATCAGGAGCGAGAAGAAAGGATATGCGACAACCTTGACCAGAGGACTCATGCCAGACGTGACGGCATTCATATCGGTAGTGAAGTTTTTGATGCCGGGGCAAGAATCAAAGATGGTCACATGGGCCGGAAAGTTGGCGCCGTATGCGTCCCGGAGCTTGCTCAGCATGGCAGAGCCGCCGTTGGAAAAGACATGAAGTAGGATTTGCGGGCGTGATTGCTGGGGGCTGGTGGCGACAACGGAACGGATGACTGGGAGGGCGGGTTGGATGTTGGGTGTTATTCTGCGAGGACAATCATCAGCGGCTTGCATTCCAGCCCTATGCTATGGCTACTGAACTGTAGTCATAAACAAGGAGCTTCTGGCATGACTCGCTATTTGTGACAGAGCAAGAGGGGGGCTTCTTACGTGGTCGGGGGCGATAGGAAGTGCATCAGTGAGCTTCGCAGGAGCAAGATCTGGGCGGTGGGATATGCATCCTGATAGGCACGAACATACTTGGCAACGGCCGAGGACCCAGCGCTCATCCAGGCAAAGAGGACAATGAGTCGCGGGGCCGTAGAGCTCGGAGGTGGCGTGATGGTCGGCCGGTAGACACTCACCCACGGGGAGAGCTTGGTCATGAAGCCAAGGGGGTCGGGCTTGGCGGGCTTGGAGCCGTTGGAGGACATTGTGCTGGATGATTGATGATGACACAGAGCAAACGGGCTGGTGGATAATGGAATGACGAGCTACAGGCGGCAAACAAACGGGGGAAAGCACCACGGCTTTATTATTACAGCAACAACCCTCCATCATCTGGCCAGTGTGGTTTTACCCCTGCATCACTGTGCTGCGGCAGGGTCGCCGTGCATGAATGGATGCTACATACGTAGTAGTTATTGTCTACAGGATGAATTCTATTGTCACCAGGGTCTGCTTATGTCTGGGCTGTGACCGAAAGTCCCCGCCCCTGCATCCGACCAGCCCCATCCGATCCAACGCTGCGTTCACGCCTGACTGAGTGATTCATCGGCTCACCCCTGGCCGCGTATCTATGTAATAGGTAGACTACTACGATCCATCGCTGGTTGCCTTGGCCGCCTTGGCCACCACCAACTCGCCCACTGCCGCAATCGCCGCGCCACCCATAATGTCGAAGACTGTCACAGCGGCCCCAAAGTCGTTGCGGATCCAGTTGCGCAGCTCGACAGCCATGAGCGAATCCACGCCGTAGTCGGACAGCGCCTTCTCTGCTGCAACGTAGTCCGGCTCGACGTCCAGTGCGCGCGCGAGCTTCACCTTGAGGGCCTCGACGACGACCGCACTGCGCTCTTCCGGTGTCGTTGCGGCACGGAACAGCATGGCGGGAGTCTGCTGGACTGCGGTGTCGACCCCCGTACTGTCCTGCCCGGTGCTGCTCTTCAAACTTGTCCTGGTGAAGCCGTGGAAGAGTGGCCGGAGCAGCGCTGGTGGGCTGTCTTGGGCCTGGGCAGTGAAGTTGGCTGGCGTCAAGGCACCCACCAGCAACTGGCTCTGATCCAATCCCCGTTTCATCCACTGCGCTGCCAGCTTGGGGTCGCAGTAGTAGTCGAGCAGAGCGAGCAGGTCTGCTCCTGCGACGGCTGACATGTCGGGGACCTTCTCGCGGTTGCGACGATACTCAGCCCGCTCGCTGACGATGCCGACATCAGCCATCCACCCGAGATCGAGAGATATGCTGGCAGGCATCCCAGCGGCGGTGCGCATGCGTGCAAGACCGTCTTGGAATGCGCAACCCGCGGCATAGTTGCTTTGTGCAATGGTGCCATAGATGCCTGCCAGCGAGGAGAGCAGGATGAAGAAGTCCATGTCCTTGGGGAGCAAGGTATGAAGATTCCAGCTTGCATGGACCTTGGATCCGATCGTCGTGGCCCACTGCCCATGTGTCATATTGAAGAACACGGCATCCTACATCGTTGATATGGTTAGGTAGTTCATCTTTCGTTCAGATGTGTAGTCACGTACCTGTAGTGCCATTGCCGAATTGATGCAGCCTTTGATGGGAGGCATCGAGCCCGCACACTCTCGCAAAACCTGAGATACCGCACTGGCAGATGACACATCACAGCGTGGTGCTACAACACAAGCGCCTCGCTCCTTTAACCATTGTACCGTGTCCAAAGCAGCCTGGGATGAGATGCCAGATCGAGAGAGAACAATGAAGTTCCGTGCCCCTTTCTCTGCCATCCATTTAATCATGTAGCGACCCAGACCACCAAGTCCTCCTGCAATTACGTATGAGGCATCCGCACTGAATGTCCACGTGCTTTTGTGAATCACCTGCTTCTGTTGCACGTTATTTGATATTAGCACCTCAGATTCAGAATCAAGGCCTTGTTGGTCTCGCGTACCTCGACTTTCTCGTCCCCTGAAGCCACAAGCAGGATTCGGCCGGTGTTTTTCCCACTCTGCATGAATCGGAAAGCCTTTTCTGTTTGTGACATTGGGAAAAGGTGTAGTGGCGTGGGCACGTTCAAATCACCCTTGAAGACAAGGTCGAGAATCTTGCCCATCAGGTCACGGCTCATCATAGGACTCGCCTGCACAATATGATACAGATTTACAGCCGCAAACGTCACGTTATTGGCAAATCTAGACATGGGAAGTGCCGAGTTAGCTAGGATATCTGTCTTTCCAATCTCAATGAAGCGGCCGTATGGGGCAATGCATTCCCAGCTTGCTCTTAGGCTGTCGCCGGCCAAAGAGTTGAGCACGACATCTACACCATAGCCGCTTGTCAGGCGTTTAATTCCCTGGGCGAAGAATGTGCTGCGGCTGTGGAAGATGTGGCTCTCAGGAATGTCAAACTTTTCAACCAGGAGCTGCTTCTTTTCTTCAGAGCTCACTGTAGCAAATATCCTATTCATATTAGCTGGATCAAGACAGTTGACGGTTGGGCAACGTTCAACTTACTCGGCACCTACAAGCTTAGCAATGCCAACACCCATTTGCCCAGTCGCACCAGCCGCTGAGTGAATCAAAACCCTTTCGCCCTTTTGAAGTCTTGCGATATTCACTAGACCCTGCCAAGCAGTAATGGCCGGGTTGACAGCAGCGACGGCGTCATTAAAACTGACGTGGTCCGGGATTTTGTGAACAGTATGCGCTTTTCCTCGTGGGTGGCTACGCATCGAGCCGCATACGCCCATGACAACTCTATCTCCAATGTTGAATTCGCTCGCGCAAGCCGACCCAACACGGGAAACAGTTCCAGCGCACTCAAACCCAAGAGCCTCGTTGCCCAGCTTTCCGAGAGCAATGAATATATCACGGAAACTGAGAGGCCACACGGAAGCTGATATCTCCACCTCGTCTGGCGCCAGCGGCTCCCTAGGGACAGGATCCTCAACCATGCGGAGCGACTCGAGCATTCCAGGCGTCTCAAACTGGATCCGAACCGGCGGGCCCGACGACCATGGCTCCGTTCGAAGCTGAGGCTGAACACGCGAGATGTGTTCCTCCCCAAGCGCCTTTTCTAAAACCATGCGACCTACGGTAAGGTGTCCGTTCCTCAAAATAAACTCCAATTCGGGACAAGGATTTGCATTGTAGAAGCAAGACTCCAACACCTCATTGATAAATTTGTCAATGCCCTCCGGTATGTGTGATTCTGCGACCAGAGATACAATGTGCTTGTCGGTTTCTTCGGACCGAATCCCACGAAGGAAGCCGGTCGCAACAGAAGAGTAAGGGTCAGGGATCAACTGAGCGCCAGGATCCGACCTTTCGGGGGCAGCTGTAACCCAGAGTAGGTTTTTTGAACCCTGGATGAGTCTTTGAACTCTGCGGAAGCCGGCAGGATCCAAAGCAGCGAGCTTCGGGGAGCCCACTTCAACAAGGCTCACGACGACATCGTTTTCTGAACTGCTCCATCCCTCATCGAGATTGTCAAGTTGCACCACCTTTTTGTTCACCTCAAGGCTTCCAACCTTCTCCATAATATTCCTCTGTGCCTCGCTCTCTTGGTCAAGGAAAAAGACAAGGCTGGGCTGGTTGTGATTTTCAACGTCACGTTGCTGTTCCGCAACTGCCTTGGAAATCATCACGGTACTGAAGTGGCACACCTCATCTTCGTGGTCACGTAGCGCAAGGTCAACGCCTGAAAACCCAGTGTCTCGCAAAAGTTCATCCCAGCGGGTGACGTCGGCCAGGGGTCCGTTCTGACGCCATGGCTCTGTAGAAAGCCACCAGCCTTTGAGAGAGCCGAAGCCGACGTTGATGCAAGCGCTGTCTGTAGATGTTGTTTCTTGGAATACGAGGTAGCCACCTGGCTTCAGCAACTTCCTGAGGTGTGTCAAGCTGGTTATGAGATTCGAAGTGGCGTGCAAAACGCTGCCTGCGAAGATGATGTCGTAAGTTGCCTGCTCGAGCCCCGAACCGGGCGTCGCTTCAGGGTCCTGTTCCACATCAAGAACCTTGAACTCGAATCTGTCAATGCGGTCTTGGAACTGTACACGTGCAGCATCAAAGAATCCGGGTGAGAGATCAGTGAATGTGTACTTCCTGAATGCCGACGCCCCCGTTTTGTCCTCGACCGATTGCAGGCAATTCAGAATCTCCCGCGTGAAGCCGCCTGTTCCCGCTCCTACTTCTAGGATGTCGAGCAGTGGATTCTCGTGGGACGCTAGTTCAAGGAAGACCTGGAAACGACCGTCGCGCATGTGTGTTCCAAAGAGACTTGTGTAGAATAAATCGGCAGCACGGGTGGCGAACATGAGTTCCAACGGATCTGTCTCGCCCCTCAGGATGGAAGGCAAGGCCCGGGCAACTGCGGGAAATAGGAACCACTCAGGGCACTCCGCATCGCACTCTTGCAGCAGGGATTCTAGAGCCGATTTGCTAATAGATTCCGGCTTTCGCCCCTGGTTGTGGAGTTGGTACTGATAGGTGAGGGCCTGGGCATACTGGCGCATATGCCCGGGCGCGAGCTCAGCGTCAGTGACCTCAGCGACCGCCTTCCGGGCAGCTAAACGCAAGACGCGTTCCATCTTTGGATAGTAGCTCTTCATCAAGCTGTTGTCAGAGACTACACGACCTTGGCTGCAGATCTGTTCCAACTGCTTGGGCCTGAGATTGCTGAGTCTTGGCTTCCATGAGATCCCGTAGAGAAGGGGTCGATCTTGGGTGCTATCCTGAGGCTCGGGTCGTGAAATCTGAGCCATAGCAAGGTCTTCAATTATGCACAAAGGCGAACCGTCGTCTCCGGTGGCTCTAATCGTTCCGAATAAGTCAGCAGAAGAAGAAATCGGATCGTCTTCCGCAGTGTGAGACGCCAAGTAGACCGAGGATGTGGCCTGAGACCATATCTTGGCTGGGATCCACGCTTTGCCCAGCTTCTTTGGCACCAGTGTCGGCATAACGGTGGATGTATCAAGACCTTTAGACACCTGAGCCAGGAGCAGATGGAATGCTGCATCCAGGACTGCAGGATGGACTGGACTATCGACATCACCAGACTCTACGTTGGACATGTTGATGGTGGCGGAGGATGCATTTCTCCGATCCCAGGCAATAGAGTCGAGTAGTTGGAAGGTCTTTCCATACTGAAGCCCGCTTTTCTTACAGTATCTGTAAAAGGCATGCGTCTCGCAGTGCTCGGTACAAGTAGCCCTGGCTTTCTCAACGTAGCCTTGGATATATTCTTGTTCTTGTCGCAGTTCGCCCTCAGCACGAGACCCGGCTTGCTCCTCATGCTCCACCTTGATCTCAGCACGGAAGCACTCGCTCCAGCTTTCGTCAAAAGAAGAGAAGATGCGAACTTCAGACCACGTGGGCTCTTTTTCATCAGCCTTTTGAACTCTTCGAAGATGTAGTTCAACTTCCGTGTTGTCTTGTTCAGTCTTCCCTACTCTGATAGGAGCAAGGAACTGAGCATCACGAATGGTGAAGCCAGAAATCTTCCGGTGTTGATCGGAGGATTCGAGTTGCCGCACGGCCTCGATTGCCATAACGAGCATTCCCGTACCGGGGCAGACCACGGCACCACTAACCTGTTCATTTCATTACATTAGTACCTCTTCGCTGATTTGTGAACCCACAAATATGACTGATCAACCAGGAAATATAGAGCAAAGTATATTTAAACCAACATTTTCTGATTATGGGGAAAGCCAAGGGTGGGGATGCTTCGGTGGTAACTTACCATATGATCACCAAGCCAAGGTATTTGCTCTATGGAGAGCTGGTTTTTCCACCTCGGATGCATTGGATTCCAGTCAATGGCTCGATTTCCTAATAGAAAACCGGTATGGTATTCCCTTAGTCTATATCCCTTGCTGGTGCTGGACTCCTTCCAGTAACGGCGGGTGCGGTCAAAGGGGTAAGGCGGACAATCTACCAGGAACGGAAGGTTTCCTTGCCCCTGACTATTTACTGCCGCTATTGACACTGGGTGCCCATGACAAAACAGAGATCCCAGAAGGTTCAAAGTGCAGTTCAAGGGTGATTTAGACCGGTACAACACGGAATGGTAACGGAGAGACGGAACAGAGTCCTTCACTGGCCTTCTCAAAGCGGCGTGGGGGCCAACTTCGACCAGGTCCGTGAAGGCTTCCTTGACTGACAACAAGCCTTTTTTCGTAAGGAACTGAACTGCCTGGGTAAATCTCACTTTCGAAACTAGGTTGTCAACCCAGTACGAGGGAGTGTTGAGAACTTCTGAGGACACTGCCTGGCCAGTTACAGAACTGACCATGAGGATATCACCAGCCTCGTTTTCAGGGCCAGTGCGATCAAGGAATTCCAAAAGCTCTTTGTACTCTGTTGCAATTGATGTCATGGCTGGAGAGTGATAAGCAACGCCCGTGCTAACCTTTTGAGCGAAAACACCGTCCTGGTCAAGACGCTCCTTCATTCGGTCAATGGAGCGAGCAGGTCCAGAAAAGGTTAGATTACTGGGACTGTTCAGGCATGCGATATGCAACGAATCATTCTCAGTATCCGGTTTGAGGACATCAATATATTCAAGGGCCTCTGCCTCGGTAAGGTTGACCGAGAGCATTGCTCCTGGAACATCGGTTACTTGGCAAAGATGGCCCGCTAGCTTTCCTCTGTAGAAAGCAATTTTACAGGCGGACTCGTGCGTGATGTAATTTGCCGCGTACGCAGCTGCAATCTCGCCGCTCGAATGACCGACAACTCCCACCGGAATGATATTGAAACTCCGGAGAAGATCAACAAGGGCGATTTGCAGCGCTGTACAGAGCGGCTGACTTAACTCCGGAAGACCCACGCGAGTCCCATCATCGAGCTCATCTACATAGGTTAGAACAACTCTTGAGGTATCAGTAAGGGTAGCATCGGAGTCATTAGCTTACCGAATAGTGACCATTCGCAGCCAATACTGACAAGTACACTCTCCGACCTCTTCAGACTTTCCTCAAAGACGGGATATTGCAAAAGGCCTAATCCCATCTTGGCATATTGTGCCCCTTGACCGGTGAACACAAAGCCCAAACGTGGCCTGTCTGACGAGGCCCGTACAGGCTTCTCAAGGTTTTTGGTAAATGAAAATGAAGACTCATCATTTCCGTCAACCAAGGTAAAACTGCGCCAAGACATGACGCTGCGGCGAGAACTCAGTGTGTATGCAAGCTGGTCAAGCTTTCGCTCATCGCCTGCAATGTGAGCACGGAAGTAGGGATCGAAGGCCTCCACCATGCGTTGCACTGCTGCTGCGTCTGTGGCGCTCCACACGAGAATTCTGGGACGCGATGATTGTGCGTACTGTTTGCTTATTACGCTTCTAGATTCGCCGTCCGCTTGGTTCAGCATCGTTGAGACAGTCGCACCATTCACCATGTCTTGGTCGTCGCTGGAGGATTCTGCACAGTGATGATGGCCGACCAGTTTGCGGCTCTTGAGGTAGTGTAAGGCGTCATCCAAGATGACATGGGCATTCGCACCGCCGAAACCGAAAGAGTTGACAGATATACGCCGTAGTCCAGCTTGCGGCCATTGTATATTTGTAGTAGGAACCTATTAATTTTAAAATTAATTAATAACGCACTTACACCGTAAATGGTTCACTTTACGTACCTTGATATTGTATGCTTCGCGCTTAATGTCCGGGTTCAATGCCTCAAAAAGGGCCGTTGGGGGTATCACGCCCCTTTCCAGCATTAAAATAGACTTGACAAGACCAGCAAGACCACTGGCCCCTTCAAGATGGCCCATGTTGGCCTTGATTGAACCACTACATATTCAGGTTAGCGAACGTAGAGAAGACTTTTGGTTGAAATAAGCTTACACAAAAAGTGGTTGATCTGGTAGGCGTTGTGAATCGAAAACACTGCCAATGGCTTTCATCTCAATGGGATCACCAGTTGGTGTCCCCGTTCCTAGGTCGCGCCAATTTAGTTGGCCGGAGCATAAAAATAAAAGAGAAATTCGATCTGAAGTACTCACCATGTGCTTCCACATATCTGGTATCTTTGAAATCCAGGTTCGCCTTCGCGTAGGCGCGACGCATTAGGGCCTCTTGTGCCTTCGCGCTTGGCTGCGTCAGGCCAGGAGTTTTCCCATCTTGATTAGATGCCGTTGCCCGGATGACGGCACGGATAATGTCGCCGTCTCTGATAGCATCATCCAGTGGCTTAATCAACATGGCAACCACACCTTCGCCTCGGGCGTACCCGTTTCCGCGAGCATCAAAACTAAAGCATTTGCCGTCAGGCGACAGGAAGTTCAAGTTTTGCAACATGGTTGTTGACTCTGGTGTAAGGAGGACATTTGTGGCCACAACGAGGGCCTGCCATCTTCTGTCAATTAACCATGCATGAAAGATCGGATACATCTGATCAAAGGAATCAACATACCGCAGAGGAGTCTCCACTAGCTATTGATTGAGCTGCCATATCCAGCGCGATCATGCCACTGGAGCAAGCCGTGTCAAGATAAACGCTTGGGCCACGGAGATCAAAGAACCAACTGATCCTATTTGGTAGCAGGGACGGCGCAATAGACGTAACAGTCTGCCGTGGCATCGTGTCTGGGTCTTTAGTAATCATTCGCGACCAATCATTCGACATGGACGCGCCGAATACAGCTGTCTGTGTGCCGTGGAGGCTCTCGATGGGGATACCCGCTGCAATGCCAGGTCAGCTTGGGCCATTTCATTGTCATCAATCTGTATCACCATTCTCGAATGCATGGTATGCAACCTCCAATGCAAGACGATGCTGTGGGTCTATTGTCGCGGCTTCCTTGGCTGTGATCGAGAAGAACGGTGCGTCAAAGACAGCCGGGTCGTCTTTCATGAAGTGTGCGCCACCCACGGTGGTCTATGTAACAAGCGATGTCAGTCCAGATCCGAAACAACTCTCGGATTGGTCTATGGGAGGCTAGTCACATGGTTCAATGAGGCTCGATCCTTGGGCCATCCCGACATCACGTTTCTACCACTTGAAAGCATATCCCAGAGTCCAGGCTCGTCGGTGGCCTCCTGGGGCAATCTAAAAGAGAACCCGACAACGGCGAGAGGAACTGCCGGGGTTTCTGCACGAGTAGATCCCATGATTACGGTAGTGCCAGGATATTTATGATGATGACAGCTTTTCAAAGGCAATTTGCAAAAAATACTGGGATATTTGGTTGTGTCAAGTGCGAAGACCTTTGGGAAGACGGCAGGCCAAGATATAAGATACTGCCTCTGTAGCTGAATCGATCATCACTAGAGTAGAAGCAGAAAAAACTCCACTTATCACTTCGAAATACCAAGAACAAACACACCTGCCCAGCCAACGATCATGGCACTTACTCAAGCCCTCTAAAAACAGAGTCGTCGAGATATGGTAACGCAAACTGGAAAGTCTTGGGGTGTGTCTTTAACAAGGCAGAACTGAGCCTTTAAGTTGATGCAGAGCTCGCCCCCAAACAATATACAATATGCAGCCTCGATCCTCACGGACGGCTCGGAAGTGGATGTGACCATTTTTATGATGGAAGAGGGGGGAGCGAAGGATTTAGCATCAGATGTTGGTAAGCCTCCCCCCACACGTCAAGAGCTGAAATCTGGATGTACATCATGAGCAAAAAAAGGTTGCCGGCGCCCCCCTGTGCTCGCCGTGAATCTTGCTATTTCCACACCGTTACCTCCCTACCTTGGTGGATTTCCCCTAATGTCATTTATGTGAAGTCAGCGTGATGCTACAGTTGGGCCAGTGTAACCCCGCCATTGCAGTGTTGTCATTAAAAAAATCCATGTCGGGCGCTTCCGTTAATGGTCTTGCCGGAAGAGCTCTTATGCCCTAATTGAGAGATTAACACTGACACAATGCTACAGTGACATATGATGGATCCGGTGTCATTCGCGTGGTTGCACTCGCAATGAGAAGGACCAATCCTCAGCTACTCACAAGGCCTTGTATTATTGGTACTTTGGCCCAGTGGTATGATGCTAAAACTAACATCAAGGTATTAGTGTAATTTTATCGACCAGATCCTAGTGACATTGAGGCACGAATCGGGCACTTTGCACATATTGGATCTTGAGACGTCTTTAGTCGTCACAGTATGAGATAACCTGCTAGCGCTTATGCAACCTGCAGCAATATCAGTTACAGCCACCACGCCAAGGCTGGGACAACGGACTCTGCATTACACGAGCGAGGCCTGGTCTCTTTAGATCCTACTAATCTACTCACAGTTCCACAGTATGGCCACCCAAGGCTACCAGCCTTCTTCCTCTTTGGTCCCAACTTATCCAACCAGGACCTGCTTCTTTCTCCACATGAGGAGCGCGGCTGGAACCTGGGCTACAGCAAATCCACAGAGAACGAGCATCTGGCGATTGTATCCACCCGACAGAATCCGCCTCGCCTCAGCCTCCAGATCCGTATCCCCCAAATCAGTTCCGTGGCCGGCTACAAGGGTCTGTGTGAGCCCAGGGACCCCAAGACCCTCTAGTCGACTTCCCGTATAGCCATTGAAGACAGACGTCACGATCGCCAAGGCAAAGGCACTGCCCATGTAGCGGAATTGATTCGCCGCCCCCATCCCGACAGCTACTCGTTTTGAACAGTCAGCCTTGTTTTGATATGATCTCGAGGTCATCTTATCAGGGGGTCTCTCACCGTGGTCGCGTTTCTCGGCCGTGAACGGAACCATCAAATACAAAATCTGATAATTAGTGCCACTCCCCAGACCGCACAAGAACTCGTAGCCATATGTGCCAGGGTCAATCTTGACGGAGCTTCCTAGCGTGCTAAGCATGGCATATCCGATGATCTGGAACACGGAGCCTGCAAAGACGAAATAAATCCCGGGCACTTTGAATCTGCTGGCGACCTTGGCAGAGACCATCGAGCCAACAGGAAATGCAGCACCGTAGGGGATAATTCGCACCCCAGCATCAAAGCTTGACATCTTATTGATGAGCTGGAAGCGCTGAGGCAACTGGAAGTTAATGGCAGCCATTGGCCCTCCAACCAAAACGAATCCACTGTCATGTAGTCAGCTTACAGACAGCAAGAGGAAACGACGCAGTGCCCACTCACAGCATCAGCCCAACAAAGACCCGATTGGTGAAGAAGCGCCAAGGCAGCACCGGCTCTCTCATGGCGTCTGCTATCGTCACATGCCGTTCCCATATCAAAAGAATGGCCCAGAGCACAGCGGACCCAATGAGCAGTGTCAGCACGTAGGCCGATGCCCAAGGGAATCTTCCGTCTGCTTCCTGGAACCCTGCAGTGAAGGTTGTCGTAGCGAGCATTAACAGAATGAAGCCTAGGGCATCAATTCTTGCCAAGCTCTCGGTCGAGATTTTGTCTGGTTTTTCTTCCACTGTGTGTGACTGATGCTTCGGAAACCCGTCGGGGATGCCAAAAGCCACAAGCAGAAATCCCACAGCCCCTGCAGGCACACTGCACAAAGGATTGGATGAGCATCTTGTAAAATAAAGGACGAATATGAAGATGAAGAGAGACGGAATCGGCCATACTTAAACAAAAAGATCCATCGCCAGGTTGTGTTATCACTGATCGTTCCACCGATCAGCGGCCCAAGAACCATGGCCATGACGATGGCGACGCCGGTCTTGGCGACAAGCCCTCCCAGCTTCTCGGGAGGCACAAGCTCGACCATAATAATAGCACACAGAGCAAAGCAGCCACCTGCCCCGATACCTTGGACAGCTCGTAGAATAATACTTTGCAGTCATGATTAGCCGACGACAATAGCATAACAGGGCGGGATACACACAGTTGTGTCATGGATTGAGCGGCACCACAGCCTCCAGAGAGTGCCGTGAACAGGACGATGGAAGCCAGAAGGACGGGCTTTCTCCCACATATGTCGCTTATCTTAGCGGCGATGACGATGATGGCGACATATCCAAGTTGGTAGCTGGCCAGAATCCAGCTGGCGTTATCAAAATGGCCGAGGTCTTTGCCGATTGCCACCAGGGCCGTGACCGCGATGAACGTCTCAACTGTAGTCAAGAAGAGCAACAGTGCAATCCTATCCCAATCATTAGCCATGATCACTTGAACATGGAAGTTCAACTGCTACAGACGCCGTCATAATTGTCCACACTCGAATACCCTGAAGGTAAACAGTATCAGAGCCCTCTGCCACATCGTTGGAGGCACTGTCGCTGCTCTGGACCGTCTCAATGGGAGCCTTGGCTAATTCTGGGCCACTCCCCGGTAGAACCGGAGTGGAAGCAACTCGTTCATCAAAGCTCATCTTACTGGTCTGAGGATGAAAATAGAAAAAGAAAAACGACAAATTATGGCAAGAACGATAACAGTTGATGGCAATACCCTTCTTCCCGAACGCAAGGTTGGACAGGCTACTTCTTTTGATTTCCACAGTTACTTCTGCTACCCCTCATCAGGCACTGTATAATGGTAGCACTGTAAGGTAGTGTTCTATGCAGTGACGAAACGAAAAGATGCAATATCTTGGATATTAGAGGCTGGGAACTTTGCAGGAAGGACTTCACCCTGCATGCATGCATCGCCCCCAATGTAACTGCAACCCTGATCCATTCCGGAAAGCATCGAAATCTGTGGTTCGCGAACCATCTCGGCACCAATTCTCATAGTTCCAAAATTGTGATACGGAAATAGTAGCCTGTGCTGTTTCAAGAGGGACCATTTCCACAATATCGATTCCTTCGATCGCAATACCTCGTCCATGGTTAGGTTTTGTTCGGATTATTACGCCAAGGACGTATGCATGGGTTCATGTTGACCAAAAACGGAAATACTTTCCTGCCTCCTCCTTCTATAAGTCGATGACAGCCATCCATTCTTGAATCGTCATCCATTGCCGCTGCCTCTCACCTTTCCCCATATTACCGCCCGGACCACTTGGATATCTCCCACTCTTCCTGTTTCTCCTGCCAATCCAGGTATTTGGATACAAGATGGACAAGTTTGAGAGCATGTCGCCCGCTGTCAGGGAGATGGCGCTGCAGATGCCAGGTATGGTGCCTCCAGCTGGCCTCAAGTCCAATCTCGTCGATCCACCCAACGGCAACAAGGGAGTGATTGGGCTTCTCACTGTCTGCATAGCATTGACAGTATCTTTTGCATTCATGCGCTTTTATGCTAGAACATTCATCCAGAAGAAGTGGCATCTTGAAGATTGTATGTATCGCCCAGGCCTTCGGCTTTCATTCCATACTAATCCTCCCCCAGACCTAGGGTTTGCTGCATTGGTTCGTCCCCTGAGAACTCGTTCTGTTTCCCATGGCCTTTTCCTAATGCATACTCTTGTTAGGGCCCCTATGCTGGCGGTGTCTGGGTCGTCATATCTTGCATCCACACGGGCGGTTTCTTGGTTCACCAGTGGAATATTCGTGTCCAAGATCTCCTGGACATCCTTTACGTGAGCTCCCCCCCCCGTTCCAGATGATTCTTACGACAGAGCTAACACTAAATTCTGTTTAGATTCTGCTTATGCTGCGAATTTCCTACGCACTGCAGATGCTGCTAGCCAAGACTGCAATCATGCTAGAATGGTCACGCATATTTGTTCCCCGTGGAACACGCAATGCCTTTTATTGGGTCAGCCGAGCCTTGATCGTCATCAATGCGCTCGTGTACATCATTGGTGGCTCTGTCGCCGTAGCGGCCTGCATCCCTGCTGAGAAGCTGTGGCACCCTTGGGTAAAGGGTCATTGCTCCAGCCGTAGGGCTGCCGACATATCCACGGCGTGGTTTAATCTATTCATGGATGTTTCCATCTTGCTTCTTCCGCAATCCATCATCTGGAAGCTGCAAATGACCAAAGCTCGCAAGATTGGTATTGCACTCATTTTCTCAGTTGGTCTGCTGTAAGCAACTTTCCCTCTCCCCAATGCCCCATCTTTCCTCCCCTGGGTAAACCCTTGTTAATTTGCAAATTGGCTCTCAGTGTCGTTGCTTGTGCAATTGGACGTACCTACTCCAATATGGCACTCGACTATTCTGGAGATACAGCATACGACGCATCTATCAACACCATCTGGGGCTTCTGCGAAATGACTGGTGTGATGATAGTCTTTTACGCTCCAGCCATTCCAAAGGTATTCTCCGAGAAGGGTGTTTTCTCTAGAGTGGTAGTTTCTGTCCGCTCTTGGAAGCAGCTGTCAGGTGGTTCATCGCTACAAGACAGCTACAAGAGCAGCGAGGGGAAGTCTTGGCCCCACGGAAAATCAGAGGACTTCACAAGTGGTGCGAAGCATCCTGCTTCTACAGACTCCGAGGTCGAGCTTGTAAGACCGGAGCGTGCCAGAGTGGGAAATGGTAAAGTGGATGATGCGTATCAGCTGGGGGGGACCAACCAGATCCTAAAGGTAACACGCCTTGAGCACAATGTGGCCGAGGCCTCCAAGCAGCACACGGGAGCGGCGCCAGAATACCAAAAGGCTTGGGTGACGCACTCACGGGAGGGTGCCTAGGCTTAGGGTATCGTTCTAGCGTTTCTAGCAGCGTACGTACTCCTTTGAAGGCGTGCGATTGTACAATGTAGGGTGTAAGTCAATATACCATAAGTTGCAAGAAGTTCCGAAGCACTCCACTGCAAATCACTCATACCGACACCCCACTGTAAGATTGTGTCTTGTTTGAGCAGGGGTGCTTTATGCTTATCTAGTACCTAACCGTCTGTGTACTAGAACAAATAGCATCTGCATACAGTACACTGTGCACATGGACAGGGGTATCGGTGGTCTGGGCTGTGGAGACGAGACAATGGAACCAAAGCCAGCGTATTATGCAGCAGTGTTGTCGCTGTGTCAGCATCCAACGGCGTTACTTTCATCCTTTCCCTATACTAGGTACTACATCAGAGCCTACATATGCAAAGGATGATACCTAATCGGGGCAGCATTGTGTGAGGCCTCCCTAGTGCATCCTCACTCAGCAGCACGCTGCCTTTCAGCTGTAGCATCTACATGGTACCTTTTGACAATCCTCTGGGGGCCGTCTTGGCGTAGGAAGCCTACACCCCCCTTGCTGAGACACAGACAATGCCTTTTGGTCTTCTGGGCTGGCTGTTGGGACCTCGTTGGCGTTGGGGGCCAACGCATGAATGGCACAAACAATATATATGCAATTGCCCTTAGGAATTAGCTGGTACCTTCGGACCTGCAAACCACTACCGCAAAGGACCGTATACTCTCGGGAGCCTTCGGTACCCCAATCGTTTCTACTTCGTCTCAAGCTGTTTGCCATCATCATGCCTTTGTTTGCTGCCGGGGCTGCGTGCGTGGCAATTCCATTGGTACTGTCAATGCCGTTATTCACCATATCGCCAGTAATCACGTAATTGACTGTTCATGGCAGGCACTCATCTATATCGGGTACTCCGTCCTCCTCCATCCGCTACGAGGATACCCTGGACCATTTCTAGCCAAGTTCACCGATGGCTACGCGGGTTGGTACGCCATCAAGAAATGTCTCCATCTTGCTACTTATAGAAACCATATTGAATACGGTATTGATTATTATTCTTTTTCCTGTCCGGCTGCAGACGATGGAATATGTTGCTAACCACAATATCAACAGGCACAGTGGTCAGGCAAGGGCCAAATAGACTCGTGTTTAACACCGCAAAAGCCTTGCAAGGTGAAAACGACCCTCCTGATCAACCCAGATATTTCATGCTAAAAGGAGACAGACATATACCTAAACCAAGGGGTCACCAAAGCCCGCTCCTATGTATATTCGCGTATGAACAACCGGGCTAGTATTTTCAATGCATTTGACAAGAGAGATCACCGCAGACGTCGCGCTGTCATTGGGCATGCAATTTCGGAGCAATCGATGCGGAAATTTGAGCCAACTATGATGTCGCAGGTTGATATCTTCCTTGATCAATTGATTAAGGCCAGCCAGGATTCTGGTATTGTAGACATGACGCCAAGTTGCCAACGTCTTGCCATCGATGTAGTTGGTCATCTCGCGTTTGGGTCCAGTCTCAACACACAAACGGAGGAAAAGATGCGTTTCCTGCCGGACTCCATGACGACGCTAAACGCTCGTCTCAACTTATTTATGACATGGCCCCTCATCGCCCAGACCGATCCTGGTATCAAGTTCGTGTTCAAGAAGCGAATTGAGAGACTTCGCAGTGCGTTAGCAGGCATGATTAAGGACCGCATGGCCCTACCGAGAGATGCAAAGCATGATCTCTTCTCGATAGCGACGAGAGATGAGTCAGTCAAGCATTTCGGACAGGAGGGTCTCCGTGACAGCGAGCTCTGGGCCGAAGCAGGAATTTTCTTCACTGCAGGTAAGCTAGTCATCTCTGCCGCCTTTTTCTCTTCATTCGAGGTTATTATTCGTGCCACGTTGAAATTAACTAGGTTCGTTTTCCTTAGGTGGTTCAACCACAGCGACGGCAATCGCTACTATTTTTTTCTACATCTCTCAACATCATGAAGTCTACAATAAGCTTGCTTCTGAGATTCGGTCTTCATTCACTTCAGGCTGCGATATACATGGCGGGCCGAAGCTTACAGGATGCGAATACCTTCGGGCAGTAGTTGACGAGACACTCAGGATCACACCCCCTTCAGCAGGAACACTCTGGCGTGAGCAAGATCATTCCCCGCAAACTGGAACACAGCCATTTATTGTTGATGGACATGTGATTCCTCCTGGGACCGCCGTAGGTGTGAACACATATAGTATTCACCACAACGAAGAGTATTTTCCTGAGCCGTTCAAATTTCTCCCCGAACGTTGGGTCGTCTCAGAAACGAATACGAAAGAAAAGCTCGAGACCATGCGCCGTGCATTTATCCCCTTCTCTATAGGCGAAAGGGGCTGCGCAGGCAAGGCCATGGCCTACCTTGAGATTAACCTAGTCATAGCTAAAACCCTATGGTATTTTGATTTTAAGAGAGCATCCGGCCATGCCGGCACCTTGGGAGCCGGACAGCCTGGTCGGACTGACGGTCGAGATAAGCCGGATGAGTATCAGATTGATGACATCTTCACAGCGGATCATAAGGGGCCGAATTTGGTTTTCACACGCCGTGGCAACTACTGGGAAGAGCTCTGACTCAGGGCATGAATGATTGTCGATGTGGACGGGTGTTGAGACAGTTGTAAGAAATCAATTAGCCGGCAGATTATGTTAGAACCATGTATCACCTAGGGAATCAGTGAAGCTAAAATTAACACACTGCATTTCTTTCGGTCCGTAATAGCAACTCTATCTAGGACCTAATAGTTCTCCTTATTATATTGATTTCCTTTCAGGAACTAAACTCTGTAAAGAGATATGAATCAATATACTCGAAAGATTCTTTGATAAGTTTCCCGTCGTCGCTAGTACTAAGTACCCATAGGTACTCGTTTTCATATGGCCCTCTTTCTGTCTCGCCAGATCCTTTAAGATGCATAATGATTTTGCGTTGCCTCTCGTCGATAATGGTGGGCATGTCCCCGACCTCTATCGTAGAATAATTATGCAGACCGGGAAGCGAAGACACCAAGAATTCAGTCATGGCCGTGTTGCTCATTCGAGGAGTCACGTCCAGAGACGCGGGGAGAACAGTATGCACAGCATCTGTTGTTCGACCGATGCTGAACGCGCCTTCTGGATCATTGAGATTCGCAACCCAAGCAAGGCCGGTTTGAAGAAGTATCTGACGAAGAGACTTTGGGGATCCCATTTTGATAAAGGAATAAAATTATGTGGGAGAGACAATGCATCCAACTATGTCGAATGGAAGTGAGATGATTAAGGTTGAACGAGATACGCCAACATACGAACGTGCCTGCGTATTTATACACATCAAGCCAACAACTTCCCGGACTTAGGACCTAGAAATGGCTTGTCCTGGAAGGCTCACGGTGATTGCTTCAACATGCGAATTTATCTCCGTTAATTTCTTATCCTCTTTAGAATACTGTTCTTTTGCGGTTCCGAGCGAGAGTTGCCTGTGACATCCAAGCAAATGATCAGCAATTCCATACCTACAAAGGAAAACAATCTCTAATTCGGTGGTGTCGATGGATACTAAAGTAAGCGGTTTCCTAATAGGGAAAGCAATCTCTAATTCGGTGATAACAATGGATAGGTACTGAAGTAAGCGGTTTCTTAATAGGGAAAGTAATCTTAAAAAAAAGATCCCTCCTCTCTTAAAGGATATTTTCTTCTTATTATAAAATAATTACAAGTTATACCTATTTTATATACTTCTCTTAATTAGACTATAATTTATACTTTTAAGATTATATTTTGTTACCTTATAATAACTACTATTAAATGGAGATAAACCTTTAGGCTTACTAGATGTTTTCCAAGGGGGTGCCTGCTCTAACGAGGCGCCTGATGAGGACTGCCTAAGGGATTTTAAAAGCGATATGTTTAATGGCTCAGATCTGCAATATAAGCTTAGTGCTGAGCAACTCGTCTCTGTTGCTGGCGGTTCGACATGGGGAGTTTAACCTGGTTGGACTCAAATGATGTGGTTTAGTTCTTAATGGCAAATATTCGAGCCCCAGGCGACGGTACCACGTTATTAACAATTCACTAAACTCAAGTATTCTTTCAGATGTTCAGAGCAGAGCACGTAGACGTCCGTTTGCATCACCCGGGTGTTAAATCCGCAACTTGCTTGTCAAGGCAAGTTCTAAGACCCGACTAACTACCTTTTCTCAGGCTTTTAATATTGCTTCACGTAGAATACTAGCAAGCTCAAATGTACATCTGCTTATTTGGTTCCCGGACGGAATGCCGATGCAATGTTGACGCGGCATTTCTCTTTGATCCGCCCATCGTATACAGCAAAACCTAAAGCGTTTAGCCACTCTTCACCATGTCAATATGTTTTGAAAGGAAAGTGCACATACATTCCAGGTCCCGATCGACAACTTTGATGAGCAGGGTGTAATTCACCTTATAGTGCCTCTTGGTCTTTTTCCCATCCTCGTTGACCGTGGCCTCGACTGGCTTGATAAGTCCCTCACGGCGAAGGTACGAAAAGTCGACCACAATCTCTCCTACTTTCTCGGCGCCTGGTATCAACAACTTGTGAGTAAAATTGGCTGAATTTTGGACATCGAAAATTGTACCCTGATTCATAGCATGTGAAACTCTGTAGTGTGATCGAGTAGACCGATCAGAAACATAGAGTTCCTCTTTACAAACCAGCTCAACGGTGCGCCCGACGTCGAAAGTATGGCTGCACAAAAGCGGTTCGCACTCCCATGTGGGAGGAACTATTGATCCCTATGGCCTATGCATCAGCACCTTCCAAGAAACCACCGCAACAAATTCAACGAACAAAGCTCACCAGTTTCAGGACCCAGTCAATTGTGTTTCGAATGTAAGGTTGTCCATCGTGGCGGTCATAATATGGAGATAGGTCCTTGTGTTCCTCGTGTTCGCCGAATGGTTCAGCACGCAAGATACCGTAACTAGACCGAGCCTCTCTTTTTGGCCCTTGGGATTTGTTGAGGGCACGCAGAACAGCCCCAGAGGCTACTGCATTGACTCTGTAACAAGTCAGCAAGCGTTGAGGTAGGAAATGATAAATGATAGCGTTGAATGACAAACATTTTCATATCATTGGCTGGGCAAATGAGTTTGATACTACACCTGTTGTTATCATTGAAATGCTTCAAGCGCATTTCAAGATACTTTTTGAGGGAAGCAGATGCTGAGAACCCCCCGATAAGCACTACATTCTACACGGCCAGATATCAGTGAATGGGGAAAAAGATTGCTATGGAAATGCGAACATTGACTGTTCGGCCGCGTTCGATGGCTGCCGTGATTTGACCCATCATGATGTTATCGATGCCACGAAAACGCTCGAGGAACATGTCTTTAATCTTGCGGCTGACAGTATTGTGTGTTACCGGTCAGTACTATCTTTTTAATGCCAATGAAGTTCATGGTGTAACGTACCCACTGATGTTGATTAAACCTCTCTTGAAACCCTTTTCGGCATTGTCTCGAAGTCCAGAAACAGGGAACTTCCTATGACCTGGCACTTCTAAAATACCAAAAGAACGCTTGATTCTATACTCAAACCGGTTGATCATAAGTTCTTCGATGATGCCATTAATAGTTTCGGTCCGGCCGTCTCGCTCAAGATACGTTTCGCTGTCAAGAAGATGATGAAGATACGCTCTGAAGCTCTCATTGAGAAAGCTAGATCCGTGCAGTCCACCTACAAAGCCGTTAAAGGTCTCAACAACGATGAAATGAATACGGACAAGATCTTACCGCCTGGGGGGACCACTTCTTCGCTGAGCCTCAAAGGGGCGACGTTACTTATTTCGTACGTGTTCGCATCCACCGTGCCGCCTCCTTGCCAAATTGATTAACCTTGATTAACATTGAGGTCTCCAGAATCTAGAGAGGGGGCGCATACCTGCATCTAAAAGAACAAATACACCACCACACTGTTTTGTCAGCTATGAGGGGAGGAATCGGGTGCAGGATGTTCTCACCTGGAGAGTGCGTACTGTGCTGAGCACATATGCCGCCGCTGCTTCTGGTTCGGAGACGATGAAGAGATTCTCGATGCTATTTTGCCGCACATCGACGCCATCAAACTGGGCGCGTTCCATAGCAAGAGCCATGCAACTTTGCATATCTCTGCAGGCCTTTTGAGTCCAGATTGCTGGAACGCAGAGAACGATTTCTTTACTATAGGTATCATCGTACCCTTCGCTTCTTAGTTGATCCTGGGTATGCCGCAGGAGATGGGTAAGAAAGTCAGCGATGACTTGGAGGGGCTTGTCACTCAAGATGCGCCTTCTCCGAAGTTCAGTTAATGTGGTACTGAGCTGCTCCCTCACGGATTCGGTAGTGGGGTTATTGTCAAGTAAAAGCTTGAATCGTGACAAGGGTCGATATGTGTCGTCGGAGTGTGTTTCAGGTAAAGACCAGAGCTCATGAACTTGGTACCCCCAGCGAAACCGATCGTCATCGTCATCGAGCATTGTCACATCCCCTTCCTCGGCAAGAATATCACCCGTATCAATGTCAAAGTTGGGGTCCATGAATCTAGGACCTTCAAGTGTATCATGTACTGCGCTTTCGTGTTGCGTGTGGTCCTGGGCTTCATTCTTGCGGAAGGCTGGCGTTCTGGGATACATGACCTCGGTGGGGACCTCCAAATCCATTTGGTCACCTGTTTCAAACCTTTCAGGAAAGTTTTTGATGGAACGAATGTCTCGTGGGCCAATGGCTTCAGGTGAAGATCCTTCGGGTATCGCGACATAGGAGACCGCAGAGTAGGTGGTCCCAAAGTCCACGGCTATGATGAGCCTGTTGGGTCGTGGAGCACGGGTGGCCTGATCAAAGTCCCTCAGATCCATCAAGGCAGTGGCAACATAGCCATTGACACGAGAGTCGTCTCGACCAACAGTTACTGTTGATGATCTCGAAGCTGACATGGCTGTCTGACCGCTCGAAAGAGAAACTGTAATTGTGGTGGTCGATCAATCTACAATGAGAATCGAAAGGATAAGCTGGCCTTGACTATCCATTCTTTATAACTAGAAATCTCTCATTGCTGAGGGGTAATTTCTTTCGGGTCGCATCAAGGCCTCGTAAGGCGTCTACGGTATGAATGGGCCAATAGCATCGTTATATATTGCTTGTTGGTCGCTGGTTTCGCTCCTTTTGGATCCTTTTGCATTGCTGCGCCGCACCACCTAAAGGCTTTGGCACGAAACTCCTTGTCCCAGCCCCCTCCTTTTCTCTCAAATGATATTGTGTCATTACTTGCAGTCTGGCACTTGTCCTTGGCGGTTCACGGCACTCTCGTTCACAGCACTCTCGTTCTTGTCTTAGACTGTCAACACTCCATTTTCCGCATCATGGCCAGAGTGAGATCGGAACCCTCAAACCGGTCCAAGAAACGCAAAGGGAACCTGAAAGTCTGGAGCGATGGAGATCGCCTGCAGCTACTTGCCTACTTGGATTGGTGCGCGCGTTCTGAGGTGGACTTCCGAACAACAGCCATCGATCACTTGCGAAAAGTGACAGGGAAAGACTTTTCCAAAAGGCAGATTAGTGATAAGCTGAAAAGAGAATGGTCTAAGGAGAAGAAGTGTCCCGACTTTGAAGATGTGTATGCTCTAGGAAGGGCGGCGTTTTCACCCTTGAATCACGAGGAAGAGGACGCATTACAACGAACGATTGCTCGCATTAAACCTCCCAACTCTCAAATGCGATTACGCAGCGCCTCTTCTGAGTTGACAATGACTATTCGAAGTCGTTCACTGGCTATTTCGGCACCTACCACGCCCAGCTCTTCAAATCGACGGTCCGCACGACTCACAAGATCCCATACTTCTCTAGAACCCGCAAGCGCAACTGAAATGGCAGTACGTGATTCCTAGACTTCACTTTTTGCTTGAGACTGGAAACTAACCAGAGACCACATCCATTTCAGATTGATGGCAGTGACAGTATGCAGGCAGAACCCCCCATCCATTTCTGGAGTGTCAAGGACGCTGGTCTTGAAGTACCGATGTCTGCCGGCATCATACAGGATGACGATGATTCAGACCTCAGTTCTGTGCATTCTTCCGCTTGCCCTGTCATTGAATTCGATAGTGAACTGAGAGAAGTGAACCAAGTTTGTGAAGAGGTCTCCTCTATTCCAGCATCTGGATTAGCTCTCGACAGTAGGGCCGACTCAGAAATTCTCCATGCCGAACTTCTACACTATAAAGGTTCTGTTTTCAGCCTCCGGAATAGATTGTCTGAAGTGGAAAGAGAACTGGAAGAGTTACAAAAATCTATGCAAGCCATGAGCGGGACGGAGTTTGTCTTGAAACGACAAATACACAATCTCAGGGCGCAACTTGAATCAACACACCTCCTATCGTGTCAGGTAGATGCATACAATACTGAATGCCTGGGGCTATCATCCAGCGATACTTCAAAAGAATATGACAATCTTTTGTCTAAGATTAGCGAGAACTGTTCGTTCATTCGACAACCGGATGCTGATATGAATTCCGATATGGATGCCGATGAAGTGATACCTGAGCCAAGTGGTGACTTCTGTCGTGCAGCCGAATCTTGGTCAATCAAAGCATCAAGCTGGCGGCTCGATCAACTCCTTTGGTATTGCCGTGAAAATGAAATTCCCGGAGACAGACTGTTCCCGGCTTTGGTTGCAGCAGGAATATCGGAGCTCGTACTTGAGCAGGTGTTTCCTGACATAATGGCTCTTGATTCTCCTTTACTGAACGAATACCGGAAGCACATTCTCACAAAAGGTACAAAGGACCATTTTCCTCCTTCTCGTTCAAGGTCTAACATAAATTTAGACGGGCTATCGGCCCTGCGTCAGCTTGATCTCATCGCTCTGAAGACTTTGACATCGTATGAGCACTTCACGTCCGATATGATTGCGTCGGAAGCTAAGAAACTGTCCGAAACCATTTTATCCACGCTGAGATGCTTCTTGCCAGTGGAAAGTCATTTCGTAAGCGAAGAGCAGCCAGAAAGCGAAAATGACAGACTATCTGTTGCGGCACTGGCAAACACTCTATCCCGTGTCTTGCTTTTTAAAGTCCAGCTAGTGCTGAGCGGGAAGCGCCTCAAGTTTCTTTTTTTCAAGCCCGGTGAACCTTTTGATGAGACGATGATGAAACGAGATGATTGGCACTTCCAAGTTTCAACAAATGATCACCAAGGGTCAAAGCGACATGGTGGAACTTCCACAAGCTATGGGCATGTGAAACTGTGTCTTCTTCCAGCCCTCTATGCGTCTCCGGGTGAAGAACATGGCCAACGATTCGAGGACTTCGAACTGGAGTGGCCGACCAGTTATCATAAGTGCATTACACAGGCGTTCCCACACGAGCTACCGTCCTTGATTCTGGTCGAAAAGGGTGTGGTACTGTTGTGACGAGGGCCAAATACGGATTTCACTTAATCAAACTGACGTATACACACTGAAGCCCTCGCACCGGACTATTAATCTAAGATACATTATTCAGTGATACTTTCACGGTAAAACCTACAAAATTGAGGCATAAGTAAACCCATTTTGGAATCTTACTTAAGGATTCTCAAAACCCAGCACCCGATTTACTTCACTTAATTTTCGTATTATTAGTTCCTCAATTCTTAGCAAATCTGGAATCAATACGAAAATGTTAAAAGATGATAATCTCAGCGTCAGCAGAGGCATATCACTTGAAAGTATTATATTTCAAATGAGGAGCAGAAACATGCCTATGATGGCTTCGTCAACTCTCAACACCAATGTCTCCTGTAAAATCACTTCAAGTCGCCATCTCCCTCTTTGATTCTACGAGTTTAACAGATTAGTGCATAGCCGCAGAGACTTGCTGTAGTAAGTGTTTGGAAAAAGCGTGGATTTGATCCTCATTTCCCCCCTCCCTTCGTCTACTATCTCACCAATGATGGACCAGGTTGTGTCCCAAACATTTTAGATGTCCTGAAATTAAACAGGGCAGCACAGACTGTCCAGCCATGAAATTAAAGGTCGGGACTTGCAGAATAAAATTAGATTGCTGATGTGGACACACACTCCTTTTGGCGCTGATCTAAGCTCACGGTGTTTACAAGTTGAGCGCGCGGTTACGAATCAAAGTCATAGAACGGCAACTATCAATTGGACAAGTCAAACTAACCAGGGAGAAGTCCCTTAGTACGAAACGATAGACACCGGCCAGATCTCCCTGGCAATTGACTGAATCTAAATACAAAGATGTATCAGTGGTTATCATCTGGATGCAGTCACCGGGCTGGGACATGTTCCAGAAACGCACCTCCAAATACGTGTATCAGGTGAGGAACCACCATCATCTGGCCACTGAAGCATATAGTTATGACAACAACCTGTCATGAGAAATCTTACGAAGGAAGCCAGGTGAAAGAAGGTATCTTTAATAGTCGTTCGACGAGCCGCTCGTGACGGTAAGTGAGTCATCGGTATGAAGGTTTGCAGATCTTTCTTTCTATATAACTGCAGCCTTAGGCTAGTAAAGGCTTTTTTTTAAGCTTTTATATTTATTGTATTAAGTTATTAAGCTTTAGCAGGTTCTATCATTATTAAACTTTATTCTCTTTATCTTATATATTACTTTTTACCCTAGATAAAATATATAAATATAAATAACTCTAGCTATTAGTATAATATTAGAGATAATATCTTAGCTATCTATAAGAACTTTATTAATTATATTTAAAGTAAGAGAAATAAGTTAATATAGTTTAAAAAGATTTAATTTAATATAGTAATATATATAATTTATTATTATCCTTAATATTATAACTCTTATAATTCCTTTATAGAACTTAAATTTCTCTCTTTCCTTATATTTTAATAATACTCTTTCTTATCTAGTTACTTTAAAGCTAAATAGTATTTAGTAATATACCTAATTAAACTATATCTTTAATATAAACTATAATTATTTTAATAATTATAAGATAAGGCTAGAAAGTATAGTTATATTCTATAAATATTATTTTAATTAAAAAATATAATTAAAAAATATTAGGAATAATTAAAGGAAAGAAAGTAATTATAGCTCTTATTAAAATAAGAAATTAAATAAATTAAAAAAATAAAATAGGAATATAATAAGAATTATCTTTTTAAATTTCTTATAATTATACAGGAAATCCATAAACACATTTAGCTTGTATGCTTCGTGGTTGCCGAACGAAGCTCTCAGAATAGCGGCGTTAAATCCTCCATGCACGTCGACGCGCCCCCACAGGTCTGGTTGTATCTACACAAGGGTGGCGCGGGCCTCGCGTTGAGGCCAGGACACCGAGACCCGTACCGACAACCTATTGCCCCGTGCTACTGGAACGTTATCTATCTGTCGACACTCATCTGAACGCCTGCTATCTTCATCCCCAACTTGGCACAACCCCGCGATATCACCATAAACCCCGGACTTGAGTATTCTATCCTAACAACCGGTTTCGACTTGCAACCTAGTTCAAGGTGGTTCAAGACGTGCTGTCCTCTGTTATTGACCTAAATCAGTCAGTCACGAGCATCACAGAGTCACTAAAGCCCTTATCATTCCGCGTCACACAAGCTTTGGCGTGCCATGCGCAGCGCCCGGAGTAGAGCAGGTTGCTTCACCTGTCGTCGGCGCAAGAAGAAATGCAACGAACAGAAGCCCATATGCGTTGGTTGTCGACGCAACAAGCTGCAATGCATGTGGCCAGCGTCTCCGTTGGGCCAGTCGATTCCCCATGGCAGTGCCCTGCCTACAGATTACGTGGAACTGGCCCCGCCTGTTCAGGTCCCCATTGTTGTGTCTCCTGTAGCAGAATCGCACGATGCGCAACAAGCCCGGCAACACGAAGCAATGTCCGGAAGACGACAGCCAGATTCAAAATACGATGAAGATCAATGGCCGGGCTTACACAGTGATAGCAGCGCCCCTATAGGGTCAGTCGACGTGCTAAGTACTAGAAAGGGCACAGAAATCCCCGTTTCTGTCACTCTCGGGCCTGTTTTAGATCAGGTTCCCTTGGGTCTTTCCTTGATCCCTCAGTATAGCCACCAGTCGTCCGAGCTACTCGGCTACTACCTGACACGGACAGCCAACAGCATGGGAAATGCCTCGACTGACATCAATCCTTTCGTCTCCAAACTCATTCCGTTGGCCTTCGACAATCCCCTCATCATGCAACTCATCCTAGCTCAGAGCGCAGCCCACCGCAAGGAGGAACTGCAGGATGATTCCGCCGGGGCCATTGCCCAACAATACTACACGAAATCACTCCGACTTTTCAGCCAAGAAATCGATGCTCACGTTGACGAATCTCAAGGAGGTACTCTTGTACTGTCCTTCGGCAGTCTCATCATGTCACTTACCGAGGTACGTGCATTGCATTTCAAATTCAATCTTGTCAGGTGCAGAGCTGACCTCATGGATCGATTTAGATTGCTCGCGGTGAGATTAATGGGACTGTCTTTGATCATCTAGGTGCTGCCGGCCTCCTGGTCAGCAAATTTGTTTCGAATGCTCAGCACGACGCCTACGACAGCTTGTTTGATTTTCTCATCGAATATTACACCCACATGACAGCCACAAGCATGCTTTCGATTGATGTCCAATATGGCTCTCAACCATTCTTTAACCCAAGCATCGGGCAGGCGGCGGAGACTCTCGTGACTAAAAGCTACATCGGCCAGATGTGTGGCGCTTGGCTGGAGCTCCTGCTACTAATACCAAAGATCTTTCAGCTTGGTCAGAGTATGATGAAAAAGCCAACCCCTCATGATACCATCATCACTTTTGGCTGCTACCAGTCACAAATTCAAGCATTTTATCCGTCCTCGTCCGCTAGCGGCTCCGCAATCACAGCTGGTCTGGTCTTTAAACAAGCAGTACTATTATACCTTTGGACCATACTAGGCAACCCTTTGAAGCCATCCGCAGGCGACGCCTTTGCTAAATTGATACGAGGCGCGGTAAATGAGGCTTTTACTCAACTGGACCGTCTTTCGACCACTGAGCGTGTCAACACTAGCTTATGCTGGCCGATCACCATTATCGGCTGTTGCACGGCTGATTCTGCCATTAGAAGTCAGCTGAGGGAACGTCTGCAAATCATGTCCCGTACCATTGGCTTAGGAAATATAAAGAGAACTTTATCACTGCTGGAATGCGTGTGGAAAGGGGACCCTGAGAACCTAAGTCCTTGGACTTTACACAGTTCGATGCAAGAACAGCAGATCTGGGTATCTTTGGCCTAATTTAGCAGACAACAATATGCATGCACCTTATTTATACAGATGATGACTCTTCTTGAGCAGTCGCCTAGCTTTTGGTTTTTCAACTTGCGTTCCCTCCAGGAGGCCACAAGTTCTTGCTGTGTGCTGCCATGAACTGGAACACCCCTCTATCTCCGTAAACTGTTTTATGAGCTCGGAATTTTCCGCCTTTCGTGTGTCCTTTCTCTCCATTTGTCGCCCCATTGCACTGTGGCGACCAGAGCAAGACATGATGCGACGAGGAAGGCCGCAGTGACCGTAGAAATCCAACCCACCCCGATAGCTTCGATCCCTGGCAGCACAGAAGCTGTTGCAAGACACGAAAACGCATACCTCATTGCGAAATTCGCGGCCACCACCTCGGCTGATCTATCAGGCACGACGTCGAGACAGTATGTGTTCAAAGATGGGAAGCACATCAGCTGTCCAACGCCTTGCATAAATAGCACAATAACCACGACCGGGATGCCTCCACGGTTGAACTGCACAGTCCACCCATATACCAGCATGCAGGCCGCGTTGAATATCATAAATGGCACTGCCGAAATCAGGCGATCCTCTGGAATCCGCCTGCCACGTTTCTTGATGTATTGTTTCACGACAGCGTCCGCATAACGGCCACCCAGGAAGGTTCCCAGTAGATAGCCGGCGCCAGGTGCAAGAAAGAACAGCCCGCTCTGAAGTGGTGTCGTCAAATTGAATCGCGGGTTGAGGACGTATCGTATGGCGGCGAGGATCGAGTACAGATTCCACAGCAGTGACGAGCTGGCAAGCCCCGCGAACAAGATGTTGGGGTATGCGTAGAGTTGGACCACGCGCCATGGGTTGATTCGACGGCATAAGAATCTGAACATTTCTACTCTAGAAAGGCCTTTTGCATCCTCTATACCTTTCCGATGGATGGTCTCGGGGAGCCAGACAAACGTTCCCACCGTGGCAACTGCAGACATCGCAGTTTGCAGCCAGAAAATCACCCGCCACGACGTGTAGGTGACGATTATTCCGCTTATGCACGGTCCTAGAGCAGGGCCAATCTGGGTGCCGGACAGGAACCATCCCTGTGCTGTAGCGCGTTCTGTGGGGCGATAGATGTCTCTATAGGTGATATGAGTATGATGATACTATGAGAAGCAAGACAGATGTGGTACACGTACCCTATTACGGCTGAGCCTGCCAATATGAAGGAGGTGCCCTGAAAGCCACTGAGGATTCGAAAGATGAAAAATGATGCCAAATTCGGCGAAAGGGCTGTTCCGATCGAGAATCCAAGGAATGTTGATGTTGTAATCAGAGACACCTACCCCGTCCCATGTTGGTACGATGCATGCTGTACTCTTTCTTACGGAAATGTGATCATTGTTCAACTTACCCATCTTCTGCCATACAATTGGCTCAGTGGACCCCAGAACAACGGTGAAATGGCCATTGACAGTGTGTACATGGCATTCGAAATGTTGATCATGGATCCCGTCGTGTTGTATTCGGATGCAACTTCGGGAGTCGCCGCCATAACTGAAGTAGTGGCCGTTGATGAGAGCAACGCACAAAAAGACAGCAGTGCCACGATGCCCCTCTTACGCCTGCTTGACAATCGATCGAAACGGGTGTTGTTTTCCTCTTCGTCTTGGTGTGGCAATTCAACGGGTACTTCGAATCCCATGGAGCGATGGGTCGGCACGAAATGTAGATCAAGAGAATCGCTTTCTCGATTTTGAGGCGGGCAGATACCGGCAGTGGGTACAGACTGTGTCTTTTCACTTTCACCAGCATCGCCATTGTGACCTTGTTTGGCCATTGTTGCTGCTATCCGGAATTGGAAATCAGCGACAGTTTCACAATTTGTGTAATGGCTTATGGCAACTCACAGTGTTTTATGGCTGACTTGCTTATGATTGAATGCTAGGAATACCGCCTGTTGTACCTTGAGAGCTCGCTGGTTGTCGTGCAAGTACTCGGTAGACAAGCTTTCCTCTCCTTCTTGACTAAGCCTGAGCGGTCGGAAATAATGGGAAATAAGCAAGATCAGCCCACGAGACGTATTAAGATCGAAGATAAGCGCGGCAATGGCCCCGCTCGGAAGGATCCCGACCCCACCCTTAGAACTGATCGGGACTAAAGGGGCGATAAGAGTTGGGACGGAGTATGAGCTTTCGTAAATCCGATATCGGAAATCTCACAGTAAGCGACAGGATACAATACACTGAACGTCATGTCTATTCCATGCTTTGCAAATCCATTGAGTGCTTCTGTCGTGTAGGCGGCAATTGCCGCGTTTTAGTTAGGGTGAGCCGCGGTACGAGAAGATTAGCCCTGCCGCGCTGTGTGGTATGAGCGTCTCGTTAGGACTCCACGACCGATAACAACATTTTAATACCTGTGTCGTTCGCTGAAGTAAGCCCTGCATCCGTCTACCGGCCAACAGTCGCAGCTTATCTTTGCGCATAAGTAATTTGTGAAGGGTTAAGCTCAGAGAACGAAGATTCACAGGATGGGCAAAGTTCTTGTTACCGGAGGCAGCGGCTTCATTGCAGCCCATGTTTTGAACGTCCTGTTGAGTCGCGGGTAAGTCCATTAATTTCAAAAGACTCGAATTCTGGTTAGTTGTGAAACAACATGCTAATGTAATGGATATCATTTACAGATACACTGTGGTGACCACCGTGCGATCCGCTGCCAAAGGCAATCAGATTCTCGCTGCCCATAGTGATGCCACCCAGGGTGAGCTGTCATATGTCATAGTGGAGGATATTGCCAAGAGCGATGCTTTTGATAATGTAAGCTACTGCTCTCGACTCTATGACCCATTCCGGCCGGTCCAATAACACGAGTTTTAGGCGGTTAAATCTAATCCGCCGTTTGACTACGTGATACATACAGCCTCCCCTTTCCACCACAAGTTTGATGATCCTGTGAAAGACATCTTGGAGCCTGCTATCAATGGCACCACAGGTATTCTTCGCGCAATCAAAGCCAATGCACCGGGGGTCAAGCGGGTGGTGATAACCTCATCATTCGCGGCAGTCGCCAACGCGGATTCGCCGCCCGCAATTTATGACGCTTCATCCTGGAATCCAGTGACGTGGGAGGAAGCCGTGACGGTTCGCACAAAGACATATCGCGCAAGTAAAGTGAGTACGATTCGGTGTCCGATTGCGACCTATCGTCTGTTACTAAAATGAGTAGACTTTTGCGGAGAGGGCAGCCTGGGACTTCGTTGACAAAGAAAAGCCAAATTTCGATCTCGCTACTGTCAACCCTCCCCTTGTGTATGGTCCGATTGCGCACCATCTAGACAGCCTTGATAAACTCAACACCTCGAACCAGCGCATACGAGACTTCATTCAAGGGAAATGTACGAAAGAGATGCCACCAACAGGATCATTCATCTTCACCGATGTTCGCGACTTGGCATTGGCTCATGTTCGGGCCATTGAAGTGCCGGAAGCAGGGGGAAAGCGGTTCTTGATTACAGCCGGACATTATTCGAACAAGGAAATTGTTGAGGTGATGCGTAAGACGCACCCCGAGCTGGCGTCCCGTCTACCTGCAGACCCGATCGACGATTTCCCGAAGAACGTCTATGGCTATGATAACTCAGCAGCTCGGAAGGTGTTGGGTATCGAGTTTCGCTCGCTTAAAGAGTGCATTGATGATACCACTGCATCGCTTCTGGAACTAGGTGCCTACTCAGTGTGTTCTCCATCTCAAGAACCATCTCACGTGGTGCCGATGACAGTTATTAGCTCTAGTCCTATCAAATTATGATTAAGTGCCGTTTACAAAGGGGGGACCTTTCGACTAGCTGATGTACTTCAATGAAAATAACTGCAACATGAACCTAAGTAGGCAACATTTACCCAGCTTAGGGTAGCAGTTGACTTGAGTTTAAGGATGTTTTCGCCCTTGGGGCTTTGCTAGTCTACATTTCATATGATTCATCTTGCAATCTTGCTCTACCTGAGTTCCTCGTTGATGTTGGCTTAATCCATTTAGTAGATATGATGTCTATCCCCTCTGGCTTGGATTCTTTCGGAACTATGAGCAAGGATTTAGGATCGTACGCACAAAGCGATGTCGCTGTCCAGACCGCAGATGTCACTATCCGGCCGGAAACTACCTTATGATGTCAAGGGTGCATATCCCGATGCACCTGTCCTCCATTCGTAACTGCCTTTTACCTGTCTAACCTGATAAGGTTATTGATGCCGCGCTGCTTGCCGCGCCGTATCGCGATCTCTCTTCTGCCAGCGAGTACAGTGCGTATACAGTAGCACCGTATTGATTCTTATCTGAGGGATTTGGCTACTGGCTAGAAGGAGTATGTGGAGAAAATCTACTAGCGAGAATATTCAGCCCATTAGCTGTGCGGTTGACTAACGATCCAGTCTTTGCGGGGGTGATTCGATATTCACCAGCTGGCTTGCACTGTAAAAGGCGCCATACCCTCACATCCAAATTCTGATCTGTTAATGTCCTATACTATCAACATACCATTCAATTGCGCCTGCCAAACCTAAGGGAGCGATTTAATCATGCCTTGCGTGGTATTCTCTGCGGAGGAGATGCTATCCTGCCCAACAAAATTCAACGTGGGAATATCTCACTTTAGTAATATTATCACTACAGCGTGAGTCCCGACGCAGAATTTCACAGGAAGTTGATTGACATGGTTGTATCTAGGCAGCCAGAGAGTGGGAAGCTCGTCATGGGTTTTTGGACACTCGATGACTCCGAAGAACCGTCGGGAGTCAGGAACATCAAATGCACTGAGTCCAAGACTGTAATTGCTGGACTTATCGAAATTGAAGATCTGGATACTGGCAAGAAATACGTTGCCACCCCTGGATCGGTCATTTGGTTCACCAAAGGAACTCGTGCGAGATATCTCAGGGTCAAAGGGTTGCGAGCAATCTTCACACAGATCAACACTACCGATCCGGAGTGTAATTTCGTTAGTCCTTCAGCCAGGTTGTAGCTACAGAGACATAATTGTGTCGGATGTTTCACCTTGTCTTCTCCATTCTGTTTCGAGACTTGATTTGCGGGCGTCCCTTTGAATGTGCCCATTGCGCCTTTCCCTTTAACAGTATACAACGACAGAAAGATATTGGCAAAGTATCTTAGGGATCTTTAAAAACACTAGATTAGATGTCATAGCGAGATCTCAATACTTGAGACGGTCACTAAGGCTAACTTTGCAGATAGATATAGAGACTGCCGGATGTAGCTGGCATCATTGGAGAATTATTGTATTAGACTTCACGTCCTCGCAATAATGGCCGGAAAGCTATCAAAATGTTAGCAAAGGAAGGCTACTTCAGCCGCGTGGTAAGGTTTAATTTGAACTGATATTCCCAACCCGACACGGGAAAAGAGTTTCCGGGCAAGAGTAAGATAATGGTATGATCGCATTTGAATGGCAAATTATGCGATCTATATGAAGATCCTCCACCAAGACACTGCCTCTCATTGCCTTCTCTCCCATATCACATCTGACTGGACCGTGATGGAGTCTCTAGAGAAACCCATTCTATCCAACGTACTTTGAGATCATTTCGTATCAGCTCCCCGAGTCTCGATATCTGCGATCGCAGTTCCGTCGATAGCCCCGCGCTGAATCTTGTCGGCATCTGCAATGATCTGACCGTCATCGGTCCTGACCTTAAGAACTCTTTCCTCGACGGGTATTTCAAGCAAGACCTGGAAGAAGAGTGGCATAGCGACCACGAACAGACCGAAGTAAATCCCGAATGGGATGAATTGGCTATTTGTGTGCGAGTTGATTCCGTAAGAAACGGCTTGGCCAACAGTCTCCCATGACCGGAAAACACCCCCTGTGCGAGCATTTGTAGAGACATCGGATGCGAACTGGCCGAGAACCCAGTATACGAGGGTTTGAGACATCCATCTGCCAAGTCCGGTTAGCAATGGCTAGTCTGACAGACTAATTCGGACAGGTATACTCACGCGTTGACAACATAGATCAGGTATGGGAACCACATAGCGAACCACAAACCAGTGTTCACTTGACTACACATCATCAGCTAAGATCCAGAAGGCCAGTTGCCTGACGAGATCACATACTAGTCCAAACGGAGCGTCTCCGGCTGGTCACTGAACCACTTGAGGTTGTACATGACCCAAATGAGCATTCCCCTGCAAGGATAAAGCAATGAGCAGATATTCGTGGCAGCGAGTCATGACTGGAGCAAGGAACTTACAGGGTGGGAAGTGTCCAGACCCAAAACGCAATTATCCCCTTTCTTCGAGGTCCCAAACTCTTCATGTCCAAAATCTTTCCGAATAGCGGGTTCATGACAACAGCAACTAGGGGACCGACTAGAGCCGAGAGAGCGCGAGCTCTGACCGAGAAGTGAAGCGAAAGGTAGGTGCCCCATACTCCATCACCAAAGTATGTGAGGATGTAGACCGGGATCAAAAGAAGCGTCTATTCCCAGAGGTCAGCTTGTCCACTTTCCCCAATCCTATTCTCCACAGGGCTGTAGGAGGCTTTGAACATACTCGCTTCTGCATGTGGTGGGCAAGCAACAGCTTGCACTCCTCCTTCCAGGACTTCTTCGGAAGCAAGGGAACACCCCATCCGTCAGAGCGGATCACTTTTCGTGTCTTTGTCAACAGGAACGCGGCCGGAAGACCTGCATATTTGGTGAGCAGCCATCATAACATCCTCTTGTGCATCAAATAAACTGACCTATGCATTCCATACCAAGGAAAGCCAGATACGTGTTGGGAGTGACTCCTCCTTGTCCGTTGCGGGTGATGTTGAGGGCTAAGCTAATAGCACCGGCGATGATGGAACCCAAGTTCCTCATGACGACCCATAAGCTGATGTAGAAACCGCGTCGGTGTTGCTCAGGGTACGAAATCATGGAAGATGCCTCGGCGACGTAGAGGAATGCAGAAGCTAAATACTAACATCAAAACCCGCCTTTTTTCTCCCCAAAGGACTCGTTTCTGCGCAGCACATGCTACTCACTTATTCCATATATCGCCTTTGCGAAGATCAGATACCACTGAACTCCGTATTTGCTGTTGACGTAGAAACCGGATCCAGAAAGCGGAAACCCAACAGCACCAATCATGCACGCAACCGGGATACCAATAGTGCTGATGAATGGGCCACCGAACATACTGGACTGTTGTCAATTGTACTGCACCTCACGAGGGAGGCCAAAAGTATCGGGAGAACGCAACGTGCAAAATCGGGGAATCGAGATGTACATACGCAACAAGGATTGATGTCGAATACTGCACAGCCGAGGCAGTGTTGGCAGTATAAGGTGTTGCAAGGCCACCTCCACCAAGAGCACTGATGGCTATACCAAGGGCATTGTATCAGCAAAGCGGTCTCTAGAGCTTGGGAAAGTTGAGCCATCGCTCACCATTGCTCATCGACGGTCCTGAGAAGGAGAGTAGAGACAGTAAGACCATCTGGAAAACAACACTCCTAAAACGCCTTTTCCATTTGCTCTTTGGGATTTCGATTACGCGAACCGCGTAGCAGTCATCCTCAGTGACTTGCTCGACAACGCCAAAGGCGACATCGCTCTCGGTCACCGCCACAGGAGCTCCGTCCTTTTTCTTGTCCGATGCCATAATGTGTTTCTTTCCGGGGGAGATGATGATTGATGCAGTGATTGTGATCTTGATCAGAAAAGTGTTGATCGGAGCAACGGGACTCGACAGACGAGAATCCTTCCCTTTAAAGACGATGGGCAACCAATGTCATTCAGAATGTCCACTCCAGTCTCAATCAACTGATTGGCTATTTACAAGGCACAACGCCCAGAATCCATATGCTTATCTATCATTTACCGTCGCTCCCTGAGTCGCGTAGATAACACTTCAACTATAGGGTGGCTAAAAACCCTATACAACATCGAACTATGTACTTGTCTGGGCCCACAGCACTCGAGACCGTTCACCAGTCGCCTCCAACGTGTTGCCGCGGTTGAGATAGTACTGTGCATAAAACCAGTAAGTGTGTAATGACTGTTGCCGCGCTCGGCACTGAAGACCGATCAATATGCTGCTCTTTGGTTCTCATCCACGTCGGTTGCTGGTAAGATGCAGATAGCGGCACCGGGACATGCATCTACTGTTATCACCCCCACCCCGCTACTTGACACTCCAGGACGGATTCGGAAAGGCCTCATGTGTCTGACCAATACGTGAGCGCTGGACTTCTCCATGGGTAGTGATAAGCTCACCTACACCATGCTCTGCCCCAGTCGAATCACGTACTACCCCAGGCTCCGATACACGGACAGCCGCCTGCCCTTGAGATGAAGCGCTCATCTATCATAGAGCACAAAAAGAATGAGTAGCGCGCTATAGCCATACGTAGAAGAAAAGCAGAGATTACATTGCAATGGTTATGGCATCCGCCTAAGTATCTTTCTTGCCGAAACATGTCTCGTTCCAACCAGCCCAAATCACCCGATGCATCTGGGAGTCCTCAAGGACCTTTCCCAGTGCCCAACGCAACTCTACCGTTCTGGAGGACAGACCTTCACGAACTAGACGATCATCGAAGCACACCCGAATTGCCACAACAATGCGACGTCTTGATCATCGGGTCTGGCCTCTCAGGTGCCGCCACTGCCTATCACATACTTGACAATAACCCTTCGCCACCGTCCATCGTCATTTTAGAGGCACGTCAGGCATGCTCAGGAGCCACAGGCCGTAATGGTAAGTGATATTTGTCCGTTCTATCTGATTCTCGGTCCTCGTTCGAGAGCGCACCCTGTAGCTTCCATCACAAAGCCCTGGCCTAATACTGTATTTCAAGGTGGGCATGTCAAGCCAGACCTGTACTACCGTGTGCCCCAATATGCACGCTTGTATGGCAAGCAGGCAGCCGCCGACATGGCAGTATTCGAGATGGACCACGTGCAGGCAGTCAAAGATCTGGTGGAAAAGGAGTGCATCGACTGCGATTTCGTCCTCACTCGTGCCTACGATGTCATTATTGATCCCAAGCTGGCGGAGACAACCAAGAGCGAGTTTGATCAACTGGTAGCAGAAGGTTTTCCGACGACCAAGGATGTGTGGTATGCCCCGGCTGCTTCTGCCAAAGCCCTGACGGGCGTCAAAGATGCCCAGTGTGCTTTCTCCTTTACAGTGGCCAGCTTATGGCCATACAAGCTCGTCATGCACCTTCTGTCGTTGGCTGTCAAGAGGGGGGCCAACTTGCAAACACATACCCCTGTCACATCCGTCTCGGAAACCCTGGACGCCGATGGCTACTGGCTCGTGACAACTTCTCGGGGACTGATCAAGGCAAAGAAGATCGTCTTTGCTACGAATGGCTATACCGCAGGCCTTCTGCCAGAGTTCCGGGAGAAGATCATCCCTGTTCGTGGGATTTGCAGCAGGATTGCTCTCCCCAAGGGAAAGGAAGCCCCGTCTCTACCGTTCTCCTATAGTGTAAGTTCCATTAGAGAGCTAAGATATCCCGTATCCGTGCTGTTCTCAACTAACATTCTATCTTTCTTTTCTTTTCTCGCCAAGGTACGCCACAATGCCAAAGGTGCAGATTATCAAATCACTAGACCCGATGGAAGCATCATCGTGGGTGGAGGTCGACCCGCGTACTGGCACAAAGGCAACGAGTGGTATAACATCTATGACGATTCTCAGATGATAGAGCCTGCTGTGTCATATTTCGACGGCCTCATGCAGAGAACGTACCGTGGTTGGGAAGATAGTGGCGCCGCTGTTGATAAAGTCTGGACTGGAATTCTAGGGTATAGTAATGACTTAGTTCCATACGCGGGGGCGGTTCCATACAAGGATGGACAGTTCATCTGTGCCGGGTTCAACGGACATGGCATGCCGGCGATTCTACTCACATCAAAGGGCATTGCCAAGATGGTTAATGAAGGCTGTGCCTTCGAGGAGACGGGTGTGCCGTGGCCTTTTAAAGCCACTCCGTCTCGTCTACAGAACCCGTCTAATGCTATTATAGACATGGTAGTACAAGCAAAGTTGTAATCCCGAGATTGATATAGTTGCAGTGGTGCAATGGTTAAGCGCCTGGGCGGCCGGTAGGGTGCGGCTAGCTAAAGTAATAGAGACACTTAGCTACTATAAATCCTTGAAGTCCCTAGTTTAAACCTCGACTAAAATAAATAGTAATAAGGCTATTTTGTAATATAGCTGAAGTTAGCTTATATCTTTATTATTAAACTAACTAATAGTAGCTTTTTTAAGGTACTTATTAAAAATTTCTTATTTTAAATTATATAGATATAAACTATATATAACTAAAGGCTTAAAAACTCTAATTTATTAGATATTATTTTTATTATTTCTTATTTTATTACTAAAAATTATATAATTTCCTTATTTTAATATCTTTAAATAATAAGCTTTTTAGCTTTAAGACTTTTAATTATTAAATTATATATTTTAAATTTAATTAATTAAGTAGTTATATTTATTAAGATTTTAATATTTTAAACCTTTTAAAAGGTATTTATATAATTTATTATAAAATATTATTTTCAGCTTAAAAGGTTTATTTAACTTTTTTAATCTAGGAAATAAGATATATTTATACTAAATAGTTCTCTTTCTATTCCATAATGCCTTAGTTTAACAGTAGTCTAGGAGATACTAAGGCTATCTTAGAAGGAAAAAGTAACCATTAGCGCTCCTAAAGTAACTGCTCTTATTTCACCCTTTAAGCTTAGCTATTTAACTCCGCTAGTCCTGTAATTTGTCTTTGCTCCATTCTGGACAGTTATCCATCTGGTGACCATTCCTCTCGCAAGTAGGGCAATATAATTTATCATCAGTATGAGCATAATTGCAGGTACTCCTAGCACAATACTCTCTGGTGCATAGTTTGATTTTCTTTCCTTTTTGGGGGCTGAACTTCTGGAGATAGGCTTGATCCACCTTCGAGTGAGCGGCTTTGCAATTTACCCCATGTTTGCAGCACTTTCTCCACCTACAGCGCATTTTTGCAATATTTTCGTCCCTCCTCTTGCGATCATTATATTTCTGGGCCCCTCGTCCCACAGGAGTGAATTCATTATCGCCTTCACGAACTTCCTCCGCAGGTTCAGTTGCATCGCTGCATCCCACGTTGTTGTCTTCGGGCGTACCCACATCGACCTCGAACTCTTTGAACCGGTTAGAGGTCTTTAGCACAGGCTCTTTCTTGGAGTCTTTGTGGTACTGCCGGAAGTATTCCTGATACATTAATACCTCAACCCCGTACTTATTGAGCTCTTTCTGCGCGGCCTGGTATAATGTCACCCCCTCGCTAGTCTCGAATGCGTTAACCCCTTCCTTGAAAGGAATAACCACGAGGTCGGGGCGGTTCATGTCTGGGCGGTTCATTTCATATGGGTAGATGGGGATAAGCAAGCTGTCGATGAATTCGTCGATCTTATTGCATGCATCAGAATGCACATCTCGAAGCGGATCGAGAATGACGAAGCTTTCCGGTGCGATCGCACATCGGTCCACTCTGAAGGTGTTCTCCTCAAAGCCAATCTCTTCCAAATGGTTATCAAGATGCTTCACATGGACGAGCTCCGGCGGGCTGTCATAAGCTTTGGCTAGCGAGTTTTTCCACGACCATACGTGCACCTCGAAGCGCCTCTCAGTAATCTTCCGAACCGCTCCAATGAGATCCCTGTCTCCAGAGACAATGATGAACACAGCGTGCTGGCCGGTGTGATGAGCGTCAGCTGCCTCGCTAACTGAGTCGATGATAATTGCCGAATCGACTTCCTTCTCTCGGTTCGTAAACGAGCTTTTTAAAAAGGTCCTGACATTCACATTGTGGGACCTGATCGCGTTCCAAACTGTATCCACGGGAGGGGGTCTAGACCCGTACAGGTTGACCTTGACATTGTAGTTGAATTGGTCAGGGGACAATTTGGACTCCCTGGTGAGCACTGTTTTGAGCTTGCCAACATCAAACCTCCATTTGGGATTCCAGGAGACACGCTGATTATGTACCTGGGCGTATGTTTTTTAACCCTGGATCTAGAGATTAGAGTTATTAATATAGATTTATATACTAAATAGTAGGATAAGGTCTAAAAAAAAAACTTAAAAATCTTTAAATTTTAAAAATTTATTTAAATCTATTAAAAAATAAGGTTTTAAGAAATTCTTACTTTATATTTTTAATATTTTTTCTTCTCTAATTATTTAAGTTTTAAGGTTCTTTATTAAAAGAGTATCTTAAATTAATTTAAATAAATAAGGTATTAATAATTAAAAATACTAATTAAGTAAGATATTAATAACTAAAAATATTAATTAAGTTAATTATAAAGTTAAAGTATTAATATAAATAAAATTTTTAATCTTAATTTAATAAATAAATACTATAAATAATATATATATATATATATATATTTAATATCCTTATAAATTTTATTTATATATTTATTTACTTTATAATTTAATTATACTTTATTTTACTCTTTTTTATTAAAGTTAATTAATAATTACTTAAGTTACTTTAATAAAAGTAAGGAAAAATAAAGTAATTTATTATCTCTTTATTTATTATTATAATAAGTAATTATTATAAGTATTACCTCTTTATTTATTATTATAATAAGTAATTACTATAAATATTATAATAAATAATTATTATAAATATTATAATATATAATTACTATAAGTATTATAATAAATAATTATTAATAATTAAAAAGCTTAATTAAAAAAGGTATTAATAATTAAAAAACTTAATTAAATAAAGCTCTTTAATTAATAAATATCTTTTTATTTTTTCTTTATACTCTTCTTCTTTTTTCTTTATCTCTTTTATATTAATACTTTAATACTTATTTAAACTATATATTTTATTAAACTCTTATATTATTAAAATATTATAAATCCCTAAAAGAAAAGAGTATTTATTAATATATTTAATTTAAGAAGAAAAAAACTAAATTTATTAAGTAATTAATAATAAAGTAAATTATAAATAAAGAGGTAAATTTAAGTTTAATAAAAATTAATTCTTAAACTTTTTCTTTATTTTAATATTACTTTTAATCTTATTATTTATTAACTTAAATATTAGCCTTTATATTAAATAACTACTAGAAAGTAATTCTATATAGAAGGACTACTACTTTTAGTAAGTTATACTTTATAGCCTATTATTAAATATCTCTATATTTAATAATTTACTACTTTCCCTTTATATCTTCTTTCTATATTACTTTCTATTTTTATTACTCTACTTCTTTCCTAATTTATTTAAGCTCTTTATTATTTACCTAATTAGATAAAGTCCTAAATTTTATCTAAAGCTTACTACCTATTAGATTTAGTTATATATTATCCTAAATCTTAGTTATTTATAATCCTAGATCTTAATTATCTTTAGTCCTAGATCTAATCTCTTAAGTAATAATATAACTAATTATTTATCTTAGTAAAATAGATATAAAAATAATATCTCTACCTTATAATATACCCTTATTTATATATATTAAACTATATATTTAACTATATATACTTATATAATTCTTAGCTTAAGGGGTATAATTATTACTCTTATATTTACCTTCTTATTAACCTATCTTATTACTCTCTATTTATAGTTATATATATATATATATTTATTTCTTAATATTTTTATTTATTAGCTTTATATTATCCCTTAGAAAATTATACTTAAGTTATTAAAGCTTCCTAGATATATATAGTAGTAATATAATATTAGCTATAGTAGTATTAAAGATATTCCTTAATATACTATAGACTATAACCTACTTATTAATAAGTAGGATATAAATTCTTAAGTAACTTAAAGTTTTAATAGTTCTCTTAACTTAGACTTATACTTAGATCTATTTAATAATAGCTTTAATAATAATAATAGTTATTAAACCTAAATACTATTAATATTAATAGAAAATAGCTATTTATTAATATCTAGAAATCTAAAAGGACTCTTAATAAGCTTAAGAGATATTTCTTTCTTAAAAGATAATATAAGGGAAGTATTTAATAATTACTTAAATATAGAGTTAGAGTTTAACTTAAAAAGCTTTATTAACTTTAGCTATAACTTAGTTAATAATAATCCTAAAAAGAAGGCTTACTTCTATAAGTACTTTAAAGCTAAGTATAAAGTAAAAGGCTTAATTATATTTATTTATAAAGAAAATATTAAGAAAATAACTAAATTAAAGGAAGTTTAATAAAATAAATATATATTAATTTTATATTCTAGAATATTTTCTAATAATATTTAGTTTAAGTATTATACTATTTATAAGTATAACCTTATAGAATTTATAAAAGCTTATAATACTTTATTTATTAAGTTCTACTTATATTAATATATAAAGTATTCTAGAATTTAAAAAGTATTTTCTATTTTAATATATTAGAATATACTTAGTATAGTTTATATTATTAAGGCCTAATACTATATAAATAGTAATATACTTTATAATATAAGAAATATATATTAGCTATTTATACCTTATATATTTAAACTAATATTAATTAGACCTAAAAGTAAATTTATATAAAACTTATACTTATATTTAATTTAAAATATTTAAAGAAGGAGAAGTTAAAGCTATTTATCTAAGACTTAGATTTAATTCTATATTATTATTAAGTTTATAATAAATCTATTTATAACTATAAATATTTATAGATATTAATATTTATAATTCTAATCTTAGTTAATATTATTATTATAAGATTAGATATACTTATTAGGAATATTCTCTATAAATATATAGAATTTTAACTCTTCCTACCTCTTATTAAGTAATCTTATCCCTATATTAGCTTAACCTTAAATTTAAAGTATTTTAAAGAGGGGGAAAAATATAAGGTTTTTAGGTTTTATAAAGAAGATAATCTAATTTATAATCCTATACTTTATTTTATATTTTATACTTTTATTAATTAGATATTTAAGAATAAAATTATAGGCCTTAAATAAATATATAATATAATTATACTAAAGTACTTAGATTAAATATAGCTTTTATAAAAGGAGGAGTAATATAAATATCTATTATTTAGAGATATTAATAACTTTTAGATTACTTTATATAAAGCTCTAAAGTATTAGAAAGTATAAGGATTTTTAATCTATTTTAGTTAAAAGTTAGGGTATATAAAGATATTTAAATTCTATAACCTATATTATAGATTAAGCTAAAAGCTAAATAGTAAGGTAAGTTATTCCCTTAGTAAGATAAATAAAAGAAATTAATAGCTTTTAATAGAGGCTCTTACTCCTAAGGAGAGAAATAAAATAATAGGTTATATACTTAGTAATTCTAGGATATACTTAAGATATTATATATTAAACTTTATTAAAATAAATATTTAGTTTATTATTTTTAAAAGCTCCTTATAAATAGACTTAATATAGCTTATAAACTAGCTTTATTACTATTAGTATATACTAAAGGTATTAATAAATTAATAGAAGCTAGAGGTTATTAAGGATTTAAAATTAACTAAATATATAAAGAAGTAAAAGTAAATATTAAAAAGAATTAAATATATTAGATATACTTTAGCTTTTATTATAAAAGATATACCTAAAGGAAAAATCTATAATAAGTATTAAAAGAAAGTTAAGAGTATATAAAATATATTATTAAGAAAATATTTAGAATAAATAGTTTAAGAGTTTTATAAAATAATATACTTAAAAGAAGTTAATTAATAACTATAAGGGATTAAGCTTATAAACCTTATATAATTAAATATAAAGTATAAGCTTTTTAAGTAAGTATTAATAATAAGTTTATTCTTATAGGTAGCTAAGGTTTAAAGTAGAGAAGGGCTTTATTAGCTATATATAAAGTTAGTTATAGTAATTATTAGCTTTTATAAGAGGTATAAGAGTCCTTATTACTACCTATCTTAATAAGGTTAAAGGAATAATTTTAAGGTATAAAAAGTATTTAATAGAGTTTAATTAAGCTTTTTACTTTATATTAATATATAGAGTTACTTATTTATAATCCTTAAATTAATATCTATCTTATATTTATTAAAAGCTTTAATTATATATCCTTTCTATAAATTAAATAGTATAATAAGATATTAATAATATAGGAAAATATAGTACCTTAATAGTTTAGTAAGATATATATAGGGATAATACTTAAAATAATTATATATACTATTTTCTTATCTCTATAATAATTATAAAGTAGTACTTATAAAGCTAGAATACTTTATAAGCTATATAGATTAAGTATATAATATCTATCTTCTATTATCTATAATTTTAAGTAAATAAAGTATAATTAGTAATATAAGTAGAACCCCCTTAATTAATACTTTTAGATAGATCTTATATAATATAAATATTTAAAGGTATTAAGTAATTACTAATTAGTTTTTTTTTTATAAATATAGAGCTAATTATAGCTTTTTAGCTAAATAAGCACCTCTTATAGAGTAAAGGTTAAGTAGATAAATTATTAATAGAAAATAGTAGCCCTTATTAATAGTATATCTACTTATCTTATATCTATAAAGATATTAAGTCTAGAAAGCCTATATAAAACTATATAAAAGGTATTATAATAATTTAGCTAGGAATTATAATAAATAATTAAAGGCTATAGTACCTATAGTAGCTAAAGTAAACTTAATCTTACTAAGAGTATAAAAGATATATAATATTATAATAGTTAAAAAGAATTATTATTAATAACTCTATAGAATATAACTAAAATTAAGTATATATAATAATTCTTACTTATATAATTAAGGGTATTTATATATAATTTAGAGTAAAAACTTAATATAATAATAATATAATCTTATATTAAGTATTACTACTTAATATATTAATATTAAATATTTAAATTATAGAAGAACCTTAATTATT